GGTATTACGACCACTCTATACGACTCTGGTGCACCTGCAACTGGAGTATTGTGCTCAGTTTTGGGCCCCTCATTACAGGAAGGATATAGCCAGGTTAGAGTCAGTGCAGCGTAGGGCCACAAGGTTGGTGGCCGGTTTGCAGAGGATGGGGTGTGAGGCAAGACTGAGGGAACTGGGTCTCTTCAGCCTGGAGAAGAGGAGACTCAGAGGGGATATGTTGACGAAATACAGGTATGTGAGGGGGTGTCACATGGAGATGGGTAGAGACCTGTTCTCCCCTGCAGAGGAAGGCAGGACGCGCTCCAACAGAGCAAAGCTCAGGGAACCAAGGTTCCATTTAGATCCCAGGAAGCACTTCCTGACAGTCAGGACCCCGAGGGTGTGGAATGGGCTTCCACGGGAGGTGGATGAGGCCCCATTGGTGAGGGTGTTCAAAGATAGGCTGGACATGCACATGGTGGGCATGTCGTGAGCAGAGCCGGCTGGTGCCGGAGGTCAGACTAGATGGCCTGAGAGGTCCCTTCTGTTTCTATGTTTCTAAGTGTGAAATTGACCACGGACTAAAGCACATCACTCTCTCTCGACTCAATTCCCCTGGACTGACATACCACACAGACTTGGTATGAGGATGTAACTTATTGAAGACTGAAAAGCTTTAGCAAAAAAAGGCAAGTGTGGTAGAAAAGATTGGCAGCAATGTCTGCTTCAAAATTAAGACAACGGGTACATTCACAACCCAGAACAGTTTGTAACTGGTTTAGGGTTCATACGCTACTCATATTTTTCGTGACCCCACCTGCACTGCAGAGCATTTACTGGAAAGTGATCAAGGGCAAGGCCTGTCTGGCAAAGAAGCAGCCCTCTGGTTTCCAGGCTTCGCGGGGAGTGGGGGGTGCTAAAATGGGTTGCTATGTTAGATTTCCTAGGATGCCTTGATACGAGAAGTAAGGTCACCCAAGAATCAGGGGCATCGAACCATCAAATCAAGCCAGAGAGAGCTCCAGAGAATTCTAATAACTTCCCCCAACCATGGGAAAGAGTGGAGGCACTTTTCCCTCCTCATTCACCCCCAATTTGAGCAAAAGGTTTCAACTCTTGAAAACTGACAGGAATGAGAATGCATTTTGTTTTGCCATATTTATTATGTATCCAGATTGAATGCTCAATGCTAACTGAAAAAGTCTTCCACAACGAAAGTCAAAAGCCCGTGGCTAAGCCAAGACAGGACCCTCTCCCTCCCTGGCCCAACCTTCCTCCAATTGGCAACCATGCACATCCAAGCGAAAGTTAAATCTGGTAGATTCCTCTTTGCTTTCCGTTTTGTGCCCATGCAAGAACAGCCAGCCAGCACGTTTGCATCCCAGCGACTGCCCGGTGACGGCTGGGCCACGCAGCTGCCGTGAGCCAGAGACATAACAGCCGCGTGCCAAGGCCAGGCCAGGGCTTCCCGGCCCAGTGCGCCTCTGCTGACAGTGGCCCCAGCCAAATGCTCCAGAAGGCTCACAAGCAGAGCCAAGCGAGCAGAGTGCGTCCCACTGCCAACCAGCCCCTTTAGCGTCTCGGGAGGCTCCTCTTACCACTGCCTGATGAAGCTGGTCCCGCAGCGCCACCACGCTCAGCCCTCCAAGCTGAACCCGCTGGATGCGCATCTCGATGTCGCGCACCCTGGACAGCAGCACCACCAATTTCTCGTCATATTCCAGGCAAAGCTGTTTGCTGTAAGGAGCCTGTGGGGTCAAAGGCATTGAGGGCAGGCTTCAGATTCAGGGGAAAGGGAAGTACGCAATCCTGCATTTTTCTCTTGGCAGGGTCTTTTACTGCAAATAACTTTATTTAAATTACTAATACAGTAAAACTGCCGCAAAAGTGCGGTGCTTTCACTGGAGTGGTTAAACCGGAGCCTTTATCGCTTGCTTGCCCCTTTGATTAGCACTAGCAGAAGAGCTACCCATCAGTCTGAGCAGCGGGTGGGTTACAACAGGCTGGGTGTGTGACCCTCTCCCTGGGAGGGCACATGTGTGGGCACGAGTCCAACCTATGGGTCAGCAAGTGGTCACCCTGCTCTGCCCGTCTTTTCCTAGAGAAAGGTCCAGGGCAAAGCCAGGACTGCGGGAGCAATGCAGGGTGCAGCTTGTCCCTGCAGGATCTCCATCTTCCCTCCCAGAGAGGCCATCTGGCTGGCTCACCAACTGCACCCATGTGCCGTGCAGGGCTAGTTTAAGGAGGCTGCCTACCTTGCTTGGTTTGGAGATCTCCCGCCATCTCTCTTCCCCATCTGAGGACACACAGGATGGTTTGTCAGCGCTCCTGCCATCTCCAGCCATTTTCGGGACCGCATTCTGCTGCATGGGTGGTGTTCCAGAAAAATCTGTCTTGCCTTCTGGAAATTCATTCTCTGGCAGGATCTGTTCTTCTGAACCATCTCTCTCTCCTACTTCAGGATCAGCTTGCCATGTTTCCTCTGCTCTTTTAGCCACAGACGGTGCCCTGACACCAATGCCAAGCTTTTCTCCAGCTACTACCTGGACTGTATCCTGTGGTACTAACAATAGCAAAGAAGAACGGGAGCTAACTTTGCCCTCCAGACTCTCTTTGCTTTGTAGGCCCTCTGTCTTTAGCTCAGAAGGCCTAAAAGATTTTGTATCATCGGCTGCAGTCTCCGTAGACATCCAGTCTTTTACAACAAATGGTTCTTTGGCCATTCTCTGAGATACTTTTTCTTCTAGCATACCTTCCACTTCCAAGGCATCCTGGTAAATTCTAGTCCTTTCTTCAGTTAACTTTCCAGGTGCATCTGTTTTGGGAGTAATGTTCATTTTCTGGTCATCTGCGATAGTTTCTCTAGTCTTGACGTGATGCTTCTCTTTCCTCAGTGCTTGCTGGCCTTGCCTCTTGGCCTCAGCGGGTTCTGCTGGGACCAGATCACTCACCACCCTGCGAGATGCATTCTCCAGGAAGAATTCGCTAGCACTGGAGGTCAAAGTCTCCTCGATTCTTCTCTCCAGTGTTTCCTTGGAATCAGGAAAAGGAGGAGACTGCCTGTCTTGGGAATTTTTTGGTGGAAAGCTCTGCTTTTTACTCCTTTTTGTTTTTTCCTTCTTAGTAACTTTTACATCAACACGTTCGGCAGTGCTAAGATCTTGGGCTCTTAACTCAGTTCCTGGGCTTGGCAGTTCAACTTTGGTCTCCCCAAAGATCAGTTTCGTTGACTCAGAAATTATGGTAGGTACTTTAGATTTTGTATCAACTTTTTCTTCCTGACTAAGTTCCTTGCATGCTGATACTTCCAGAGAGTCTAAGGAAACAGTTTCCTGATCTGCCTTGAGGACTCCGGCTGCACTTTCTCTCCCTTCCTGAGAATGTTCTTGCTCTTGGTTTAGCTGGTTCATCACAACAACCTCCTGGGACCAAACCCCTTTCTGCTCCCTTTCAGTCACTTGATCCCTTCCTGCTTGCTTCTCTGACTCTCCCTTCTGGAGCCCTTTCTCCCTCAATTTACTTTTCCTCCTAATATTTTTTTTCTGGCTCTTCACTCTTGTGGCTTCAACTGGGTCTAACATTAAGGTGAGCTCAGGTGTCAGTTCCCCATCCCCTAAAGACTGTCTTGCAAAACCATCCACAACAGAAGTTCGCGAAAGGGAGGCTGGTGCTCTCTCACCCACCTCCCCCAGTGTTTCTTGAATTCCTTTCAAAGAATTGGCAGCAGTGTCTTCCGAAGTGTTGCAGCCCACTACTTCAGAAAGCACACTTTCACTGTGATTCTTAGTAGCATTTTTACCAATGCCCAATATTTCAGTCTTTGAGGTACCATTTTGCAGTAGCAACTCTGGCTGGTGACCTTCATCTTCTACCATACTTTTATGCCCAGATCCATCGCTGGCTCCTGGAACACTTTCTTCAATTATGCCGGCTAATTTCTTGCTGACTAGTCCTTTTTCAATGGCTTCTTTTAATGACACTCGTTCTTCACTCGCAGCACCAACAATTCCTCCAGTCAAGAGCTGATGTACAGCAATGACTTTAGCTGTATCGCCGTCCAGCACTTCTTGTTCTAAGGCAGATGCTAGTGACAACCTGCGGCCCGTAGAAGTTTCTATGATGCCACCTGTGTCTGCTTGAGCCTGCAACAGCCTCAAAGCTAGAGTGGGCTCTACTTTACCAAGCCTAATTGCCTGGGAACATGAGAGTGCATCCCCGGTCACTTCATCTCTGAGGTCTCTAAAGGGGACAATCTCAATGTATCTCTGCCCTGATTCAATATCAATCTTGCTGTCCCTGACCAATTCTGAATAGGGGACCAATCTACAGCTCTCTGGTTGAATAATTCCGTGCTTCATTTCAGAAGATATCATTGCTTCTTCCATAACTGGCTTGGGCAATAACCCTTCCTTCACAGCTGTAGTCAAGGTAACGTTCTGGCCACAGACAGGATCAAATATGCTTCCAGTTGAAGCCTGTATCTCTTGAACTTTGCTCTGAAACTCTGAGCTGACTAATCCCAGGGATATGGCTTGGGATGAGGATATCAGCTCCTTTGTTTCCGGATGAATATGCTTATGCAGGCACAGATCTTCTGCCTTTTTAAGATCTTCATAGAAGCCTTGGTCAATCAATCCATGCTCCACAGCACCTTCTACCGGAAGCCTCATGCCTGTCTTCTGATGAATAATGCCTCCCATGGCTATTTGTTTGGTCAGGAGTTGAAAGGCTTTCTCCTTGGCCAGAAGGCCCTTTTCTACAGCCTGGGTGATTGTCAAAGGTTCTTTAGTTTTAGGATCTAAGATACCACCTATTTCAGCCTGCAAAGCAATTAGCTTTTCTGTAGTTGCATCATCAACACCTTTCCCCTTAGCGGCTTTCTCTAACTTCCTGAGACCTTCCTGCATGGATTGCTGAATTAGGCCAAGGTTGGAAGCCAACGTGACTGACATTTTTTTGCCACGCTTGAAGTCAATAATTCCTCCAGTAACTACCTGAGCTTCCAGAATCCTTGTGGCAGTTTCTTGGTCCAACAGACCAACCTCAGATGCATCCTTGATGGAGTAGATGGTTTTACTAAGTGGGTCTATAACACCACTTATGGCTCGATCAGAGGCCAGGACTTTCTGCAGAAGTTTCTCACCCATCAGTCCTTCACTGATTACTTCTTCAGTGGTTAATGATTCACAAGTCTCTGCATCAAAAAAGCCACTGAACATTTTCATCTTGCCCAGGAGCTTGACAGCTGTATGGCTGGGCACAACTCCGCAGGCGACGGACTCGTCCAGTAGCATCTTCTTCCCTGTCTGCTCATGGACTATGCCACCCGAATGCAGCTGTGCTAGCAACATATTCAGAGCGTTGCTTTCTTCTTGTTCTACGGACCGTTTTGGCAACACAGAACCATCCATCTGATGCAGACGTGCCGCTTTTCCTTCTAGCCCTAAGCATCCCTTCATAATATGTTCATCTGTAGTTTTCCCTTCAGCTTGGTAAAGAAAGCCATCTGTTGACCCATTTCCCACTTTTTCGGTATTTAACCAATTAATAGCCTCTTCAGCTCCATTTATTGCTGCAAGAGTCACATCTTCCAAGGCATTCTCCTTCAAGTTTTGAGATTCTTCCACCTTCTCAAAACCACCTGTAGACATACTGGCTTCTTTTTCAACATCTTTTCTTCGGATTTTAGAGAACCCCTTGGGGTCTTTCAAAACTGTCTTCTCTTCTTCTGCAAACTTGACACCTTCCTCTGTGACTGCCATATTTGGAGAGTCTGTTTCAAAGCTGGGGTCCTTTATGAATCCACATGGTGGCCTTTCCGTTTCACTCCTGCTTTGGATGAGCCCCAGCTCTTGCTCTTTTTTGGAGCCACCCGTTTCACTTTTACCATCTCCCATAGCATCCACATCCTTCTCCTGCTTCTCCACATTCTCACTTCTTTCCTCAACAGTCACCAGAAGAGACCCAATTTCCATGTCAAACATTTCAGTAGGCAGACAAATACCTGATGACAGATTTCTCTCAAGCTCTTTGTCTGATGCAGGTGAATAAACTTTGTGCTCTTCCAAAGCTAATTCATTGCTAGGCTCTGCTTCCACAGCTGCATTATCCCCTTCCTTGTCATCTTGTGCTTGGGGTTCATCTTCACTACTTTCTAGTGGGAGAGTGTTAGGCCCACCCACATGCACTTCCACAAGAATTTTGGCAAGGCTGCTTAGCTCCTTGTCCACCAGAAGCAATTTTTGGCCGTCGTGGACATTGACATAGCTGTGGGTCATCAAATAAAACAAGACCCTTTCTTCACAGCTTGTTAGTGAGCCTCCGTCTTGGTTCGCATGATGTGCCCAGCTACCTGAGGCAGGGGGGTTCCTTTTGAATCTGTTCAGCAAATCTGATAAGGGCATATTTGGCATGATGTCAGGGAGACAGGCTGATTTCAGTTTCTTGGCAGCAGCTCTCTTCAGGATCCCACGGTCAGTAGCTTGGTGCCAGGAAAGGATGCTTCTGGTTTCCGGTATAAAAAGTGCCCTGATGGTTTGCCTGTTGCTAAGAATCTTGCAGGCTAGGTCAGGAGACAGGACACCCTGCTCCAGTGCCTCAGCCACCGAGAGAATCTCCCCCGACTCGCGCTGCAGAAGACCCATAAAGGACCCAAGGGATCCCAGGGTGGCCACAGCGGTTCTCGATGTCACCAAGCCTCTCCTTACTGCTTCGTCCAGGGAAAGCCTCTCCCCTGTAAGGGCATCTATGATGCCACCTGCCTGTAGCTGCCGCGCCACGAGAGCACAGGCCAGGTCCTGGTCAATCAACTGATGTGCAACAGCCTCATCCACAGTCAGTTGGTGGCCACTTCTGGGGTCGAGGATGCCACCAGCAAAGAGCTGAGCTTCCAGTAACCTCACTGCTACCTGTTTCTCTATCAGTCCTTCCTGAATTGCAGAGAAGATGCTCACTTTCTGTCCTGATTTTAAGCTCACCACCCCACCTGCTAGCTGCTTGACTGGGAGTAACCTCAGCCCTGTCTCCTGGTGAAGGATGCATTGCTTCATCAGGTCATTCCAGCTGGTCTCCTTGGCTGAGTTGGGGTCGATCAAAGTGTGGCGAGATCGCAGGCTAGAGTCCAACTTCTGATAAAGATGCGTGGTAATCATGCCCCTTTGAAGAGCCTCTTCTAAGCCAATTCTTTTATGGCTGGAAGGGTCTCTGAGCCCCCCAGTGAGAAGCTGCACTTCTGAGATTTCCAGCCCAACGCCTTCGCTGATGGCGCCATCCTCCATTGCAACCACAACCGGAAGAAGTGGCCTGCCTTTGAGGTCAGTGTCATCCACCAGCCAGAGGGCATCCTGTAGTTCCTGCAGCACCTCGTAGGTCCTGAGGTCTATGATGCCTCTGGCCAGGCCTTCTGCCAAAGACAACTGTTCATTGCTATTGGGAACCACAAGGCTGGCCAAGATCACCTGGGCTTTCAGCAGCAGAAGGCCCGTTTCTTGGTCTAGGAGACCCTTTTGCATGGCCCCAAAAACAGGTAAGACTTCCATTGTGCCAAGGTCTAGCACTCCTGCAACAGTCTCTGTTCCCTGGAGAATGAGGAAGTGGGTGTGGGGGGTGGGGGAGAGAGAGAGAACAAACTCAGGACCAAAGAAACCAGGAGGTTCTAACGCAGAAGCAGCTGACTTCAGAGAATCCCAAGTCCAAGGATGTCTCAGTCTCCTAGAGGCATCTTGAAAACCAGGCTAGAGAGCAGATTGCGGGACAGGCAGGAAATTTGTGTAATGCTGATGGCCACGCAGCAAGATTGCAGATGGGCAAACAGCATGTTGCCAGTAGCACTTTGTCGCTCAATCTAGCTACCCAAATGTGGCATCACTGAGACATTTTGGACACCCATCCAGAAGAACAAAGCGGGAAAGGACTCCGAGCAGCCACAGAGCTCCACATAAAATCAACAGGAAAGGAAGAAGGGTGGGGGGGAGAAGGCACCAGGACCAGCAGCCATGCGCTCACCACAGTGCTTCCTGCATTTCTCTGTCCAAAAGGCATGGCGACAGTTGCATGAAACAACCACAATGCAGTTCAGCCACATGAAGAACAGGAAAAGAGAGAGGGACAGAGAGGGAGGGACGGGATTTGCCTCCACAGGATTCCTCCAGTTTCCCATGGGCTCGGTGCTTACAATCTGCACAAAAGGTGCAGCAACTTGGACTTGACTGGGAAGTGGCAGCCCTGTGGAAGGAGATGCAGCCATGCTGCCAACACCGCACCAAGGGCAGGCTCCTGGGCTTGGCTTCAGCACAAGTGTCCCCTCTCTACGGTGTTCCAAAAGGCTTCAGATGTCAACTCCTTCAACTGCAAAACTCCTACCTGGAACAAGCCTAGGCTGGGAGAATCTAGCACTGCATTTCATATGCAGGCGGAACCTGGGGCTGGTTGCCTAAGCTACCTTTTCAGGAACCACATCTACAAATATCGGGACTGAATGAAGCGCTCAGGCCCTTCTCACAGGTTAACCTTCGCCAAGAAGGCAGCCACCCGTCTCTCCCAACAGATGCAGCTGCAGAAAACGGCAGGTTGGGACGCACTTTCTCTTCGAAAAGGTCAGCCCAGCAGGCCAGGTCGATGCTCCCAAATGTTCCTCTGCAACATGCAGATTTCCCCAGCAAATGCACAAGAGCAGCTCAGAGGTGTTGTGGCACATTTGGGCAGCATACAAAAGTTTTAAATAAATCAATAAATAATCAATGAAGAGTCAAACTGACGCTAAAGGGGGCAGATGTGGCCAATCAACCCCATTTCCTCAACACACATGCTCTTTGCTCCAGGAGCCTTAAAATTTGATCAGGCTTGTTGCAGTGGGAGTGGCTGCAATGAGCAGCCACAGCACATCCGGTGCATTTGAAGCCTGGTCCTGCCTGCTCTCTGACCCATCTTCTCTCCATTCCAGTTCTATAACTGAGTAGCCTCAGGCCAGCTCGCTAAGATGCCGTCGGGACTTAAGAGGTTCCCAGAAGGCCCAGGACTCCAGCCACGCAACAGCTTGGGGGGCTCATCGAAGCTTCGCCAGCACGCCGCGTGGCACTTCTCCACTAAATGGAGCCTCCAGGGAGAAGGGCCAGGGCAGACCCCGTGCTGGCCGCGGTGACTGGGCTCGGAGGGAGTGCACCCAGGCTGCTGCGGAAGGGCAGTGGTGAAGATCAGCGGTGGGTGCAGCTTGCGGGCAGACACCCTCACAACCTCTGCAGCTCCCAAGAAAAGGTGCAGGGAAGCACAGCCGGGCTGGGGCCCTGAGGGGGTTCTCCTGCCCTGTGGCCCAGCAGGGCAAGGCTGGAGACTTACTGGAAGAACCTCCAACACCTTCGGACAGCACAGTCAAGACTCCAGACATGCGTGTTCAACGATTAAAACAAGCAGGAAAGAGGAGAGGAAAGGGACAGGAGTCATAAAAGGCTTTTCTACTTACCAGAGCTGTGGGGTATGCCGTGAGCAGTTAAAGACACAGCCTTTATGGAGCAGCTCAGCCGTATGGCGCACACAGTGTAAAAGCTGGGGTTAGCATCCGGCATGCGACTCTTTGTTTTGCACAAAAAAGTAGAGAGAACACACACACACACACACCCTGCAGCCCCCCAACTGGTCTTCATCTCCCACAAGAGAAGTGGTTTTTCGTTTGTTTTCTGTTTTTTGGTGCAACCTCCCGGTGGTTAGTTTTAAAAAACGACACAAGAGAATTGGAAGCAAGGATGGCAGTTAATTCAAACACTAACTCGACATGAAACAGAAACCAACAGGGACACATCATGCTCAATGCAGAGAGAGCTCTGCCCTTCGGAGAGTTTTTGGCAGGCCGTTACTCCACTCAGCCCAGGAGCTGGGTGTTTTCCACAAGCAAAAATGTTTCAGGGGACCCCCAGAGGCTCCCTGTAGCAACGAAGCACCCCAGGAAAGGTCATTCACAAGTCAACGCCACAGTACCCACGAGATACCCCCTTTCCAGCCCTGCCTCCCCCCTCCTTGGCAATAATGCCTCCTTCGGCCCCACTTCCGGAGGAGCCGCCTGCGCCGGCACTCTCCCACTTCGGGCAGCCGGAGCTAAGGCGAGCAGCCCCTGCAAGGCACGAGACGAAGTCATGCGGACACATCAGGAGCCCCCGAACTGGATGGAGCTTCTGCTCCCGTGAAAGCCCTCGTGCAGGGGAAGGCAGGAGGCCCAGGGATGGCAGCTGCAGGTAAGGAGCACGTGGGGAAAGGCCGTTCTTGTGCTCTCGTGCAGAGCCAGCCGTCCCTGTGGCGATCATGGCCTGCTGAGGGTGCATCCCAACAAAAATCTTGTTCCCATGTGTGCCTGGCTGAGCTTCAGAACACAGGGAGCCGAAACCCACTGGAATGCGACTCCACACAGGTATACGCATTGCATTGGACACATGGATATCACACTTACACGACACATAAGGTACAGGTATATCCACGGAGGACTCCAGAACAGTAACAAAGGAATAACAGAGCCAAGATGGATGCTCAGAGACATTCTGCCAAGTGCATAAGGGAAGACGGCATAAAGTGGAGCTAGAATGGCTGCGAGAGAAATGCAGGGGAGGAAGACTGGTTTTGATCCACGGGAGCCTCACAGAAGTACAAGGTCTGCTTACTGGTCTAATGTGGATGGACTTCCCATGAAAAGATGCCGGAGAGGACAATGCACCTTCCTCTTATTCACATCTGATTAAACTGTGCTTCAGCCAGTTTCTTAGTTCCCTTTAGTACTTACTACATTCCATGCTACGATATCCCATTTTCTGCTGGTGTTTTCCCTCACTTCCCCTTACATTTGAAGAAGCTGTAAGCAAACAACCTCACTGCAGTGTTGCTCTAAGGGAGCGGCAGCTGCGAAACAGCTTCCTGGAAAAAATGCAGGAGCCCTTTACACACAAGGAAGGTGGCAACCCTTGCCAGTCGCCCTCTGAGAACAACAAGTTTGTGAAACTCTGTTGGCTCAGCCTTCAGTAACCTTCGGCAAGAAGATCCTCTGCAGGATGCAACAGTAGGGACAGAATAGAATGGGTGAATGCACACGAGGACTTTCAGAGGCCTCCAGACTGTGCCAGAGGGGCACCCCACCCCCCCAGCAGCCTGAGAGACCTGCAAATGTGGAGATCCAGAGGAGAAAGGAGGACTACCTTATGCGCTGTCTCCTGGGCCATGTGGCTCTGCAGCTGCTGGAGGTGTTCTGTGAAGTCAGAGCAGAGCTGCGCGTAAGTCTCCTTCAGGGTGCTCAGATGGGTCGACATGTGCGCCTTCTCCTGGCTAGAAAGCCTGCAGGGTGGGAGGAAAGACGCCTCTTAGCAGGGGCTCAGCAGTCCTGCACCCCAGAAGCAGCCTGGTGGGATTCTGGTGGATCACCTCGGGCACTCGGGCGCCACCTCGGGCGCTCAACAGAAGCATCGACTGGATACAGTGCCCAGCAAGGAGGTGACCCAGCCCAGTGCATCTTGCTCTGTCTGGCTGCAGCTCTCCGAGGTCTCAGCTGCAGTCCTTTGTAGCCCAACCACATAGGAGAATCTAGTAAGCAGAAGGGGGATTGACCCTGTGTCTTTGATATGGGAAGCCGGAGGGCTCTCCCTTGCACCAACGCTTTCTCTTAGGCTGGTTCTACTCCTGCCATGCTCTGATCAAAATAATCCACTAGCCATGACACCTGGCAGATCAGGAGGACCTCCATCCTCAGCAGCTCCCTCCCTCCCTCCCTCCCTCCCTCCTCAGTGCCAGCCCGTTCTTCTCTCGAGTCCATGTTGCTACAAGATAGGTTCATCAGATCCCCACCTCCATTTTCTCGGGATAACAATCATGACTCATAACAGCAAGAACAAGCAACGTTGGAACAGCCAAGCTAATTCAACACTAGAAGGGCTAGAACTGCTCTCTCCGGCGCTATCTACACACAACGGCATCCCTCGTAGTTCGTGCCGGGTGGTCTTTACTCACTTGTGGCCATGCTTTGCAAGGAAGATCTGGGCAGTTTTGACAGCTTCCGAGACCTGATCTTTTTTCACGGCCAATTCCTCATTCAGAACCTCATGAGAACAAAGAGATGGCAGCATTAAGCAGGTGAGGAGAAGCACACATGCCGAAACAGCCTGAGCACTGGAAGGCTCTGGGGACAGCAGTTCGGAAGATCAGCCCAGGATAGCTGATCTGGGCTTTGGCTTGTGCTGCTGACTGATCACAGTGGGGAAAGTGTAACAGGAAGTGAGCCTCCCTCTGGCACTTACATACCTGTTGCTCCAAGATAGACTTCTCAATATCTCTCAGCTCCTTGCTCTTCAGTGGGATGCTTTTGAATTGCACACTCTGTTTAAAATTTGTGACCCAGCCCAGGAGTTCTTTCACTCTGTCCACGTGCTCTTGCTTCTCTTCCTCCACAACTTTCTGCCAAAATACAGCAACAATAAAGACAGGAAACAAGCACAGCCTGCAGTCATTCCAGCAATCCCGTCAAATGCTTCTCAGGTGAGAAACAAAGTTAAAATTGACCATTGGCCACATGCCTCCAAGCTCCTGCCAGGCAACTGTTGCAAGGAGCTCCTGCGGCCTCCTAAGTGCTCCTGCTTGCCCGCTACAAACATTTCAGAAGTTTTGTGAGGTAGATGCATGTGAACCTGGGTGGAGGTGATGCAGGATGGGCTGAGGGGGCAGACGGAGGAAGCAGAAGAAGACTGAATAACATCTGGGGACCAGGGAGACGACCTCTCATCTAGAACTCTGTTCAGTTCATGGAAGGGAAGGATGGGGCAAGTTAAATATAGGAACTGAACAAAAATGAGACAACTTTTTCCTAGCTGAAAGATCTCTGCTGAGCCCTCACCATTCTAATGCCAGCAAGGGTCTGTCTGGCAGGCAGAAGGGGGGGCCCAGACCCTTCCCAAACAGCTGCACAATGACAGACGCTGCCCCCTTTCAGAGCGCTTCAGAACAGCCTCCTAAGTCAGGTAAAAACAGGGCTGTGCAGTATTGAGATTTTGGGATTCTGCAACACTTAGCAGCACGTTTCTAACCAGTGCCTCCCAAGGAAGTGGACAAACCCCAAAGGCTGAATGGGGCAAACGGCACAGCCTGACCCAGGCGGACAACAATGGAGGCACACGGCAGGCACCCCCCGTGACAGCCGCAACAAGCGTCTTACTTCCTCCTCTTCCAGGCGCCGAAGGGCATCGCTGATGTACTTCACGTGCTGCGTGGTCAATGTGACCAAGGCTGTGTAACGGGTCCGCAAGTCCATGAACTGGCGGGGGGAAGCAAGAAGCACATGAGCCGCGCCCGCTCACCACAGTGCTGGCGATACTTGCCAATCTGTTTGTTCTCGAGAACGTGAAAACATTTCCACTCGCTACACCAGAACCTGGTGAGGACTGACCCCTCCACAGAAAGGCCACTGCACATCACCAAAGGCAAAGATCCGATTCTGCCATTGCACAAGAAGTGCTTCTACATAGGTCTACGCGTCCGGAAGGCACTGGCTTGGGGAAAGCTGCCACAGGTCAACCTTCCCTTCAGCCACAGGTCTGCCGGTGAAAAGGAAATCCCGTCGGCAGAAGGCAAGGGCCCTGGAGTGGAGGCAGTGCACCAGACGGTTTGAAGATATGTGGCCCTGCATGACCAGTTGAGCTAATGGCCCTACTCCCTGCAGGGGTCGGGGCCACTTGCAAAGTAAGGAAAGGGAGCCGTGCAGTCCATTGTGTGCATCCTTTGGAAGAGACCAAGGAAAACAGAGAAAGAAAGGATGGTCCGGGCCCACTTCTGCCACAATTCAGCATTCCAAGGTGAACAGCTCAGACTCTAAGCTGGAAGAAGAGGGAGGGCTGGAATTCCTAGCTGCAATCCCAGAGTCAGAGAGCTGCAAGATACGTCAAGCTGCTGACAAGTATCAGAATCTCTCTGGTTCAGGGGGAGACACTGTGGAACTGGGAAGTTCCAGGAGGCCTACACATGCCAGTTCCTGAGGCTTAGCGGCTCGATGGCTGACAGAAAAGCCAGCGGGGAGGAAGCTTGACACAGCGGCTCAGGACAAGGAGGCGGAGGCAGCAGTCAAGTCTGCAGGGGGCTGCCGTCCGGCCGTCAGGGCATCTGTCTGTCTGTCTGTCTGCCTGCCCGCCCGCCCGCCCGCCCAGGAGCCTACGACCAGTGCGGCCTAGCAAAGAATCACACAGAATTCACCTCCTGTGTGATCGCATCAGAGGAGGAAAGCATGCGCCGGCGCTTCATGGGGGACTTCTGCTGAGATTCCACAAATGCGCGGTACGTCATCAGCTGCAGCTCGTAGTCCTGAGGGTATGAAGATGGCAAAATGGATTTCAGACCCCTTGGGCAAGACTTCTGGAATTCCACACACTACTTCTCTCAAAACAAAACATCACCATCACCAGACTCCCCAGCCAATGCCGTATGCAGGGACATGTGTGACTGTGCAAGCGTGCAGAGATACACCTGTTTTCTCTGCACACAGGGCTGATCAGCCCAAGGTTTGTGCTCACTGGAAATGATGGTTTGCAACAGGCCAGATCCACCCGCTCAACTGAGCTTCAGTACTAACGGCATTATTTTAAGGAGTTTATGCTTCTCTTATGGCTCAGCCATTTGCACTGCGGTGCTCCCCCAGCACCGAATCATAGCATGGCAAAATAGTAGAGCTGGGAGGGGCCAGGAAGGCCTTTGGGTCCATCCCCCTGCTGTGGCTGGACACCACTCTATGGCGTCCCACCCAGGAGGCCTCCAGGGTGGGAGACTGGCCGGCCGGCCGGCTGGCCTGCCTGGACTGCTTGGCCCTAAGCGCCAGAAAGCTGCATTTGACAAGATCAGTACAAGACGCAAGGGCGTGCGTTGCCTCACATGACTCAGGGCGTGTACCCAGCCATTGCCCTTTCCAGCTTCTCCTGCAAGCAGGGGCGTGATGTTAAGTGTGTAAGAACAGCGCACGCTCTGTGCCCGCACCCCCTGGGAGAATATTGCGGGACTTTTAAGCTAGGTAACCACATCACATTGGTTTAGACTGGAGACCCTCAAAGGGGCAAGTGCACTGAGATTAAGCATCCATTATTTCAGCAGTTTAATTAAGAGGCTAAAAATCGGCCTTCCAGCCAGGAGCCCCAGCGCGTCTGCCATGGAGTACATGGGCACTGCAGAGGCTTCAAGGCTGTCGGTGGGTCAGGCATGCTGGGCACCACCTGAACCAAGCGTGTGACCCAGAAGCAGTCGGATGTGGGGGAAGGCTGCCTTTCAGGAAGCCGGTCAACTGGCATTGTTGGTGTGCTCTTCCCAAGGAGCGCCAGCATTTCCTGGAGCAGAGGCGGGAAACACTTAAGTCAGTGGACACACTGACTCTGAATTCCGGTATCTCATGCTCAGAAACAATGAATCCATGATGGAAATCAGCATTGATCAGACGGCTCTTTCTGGGAATGCCAGAACAACAATGCAGACACCGGGCGCCCAGGCCTGTGTCACTGGGTGCATCTAAGGCGACCTTCCCCTGTGCGGTGCTTTCTGGGTGTGCTGGATTGCAGGTTCCATCATCCCCACTGGGTAGGAAAAAGGTGGTAAAGTCAACTCTATCCCAGAGGAGTCTCATCCTTCACCTGCACTTCAGAGGTGCTTGGTCACGCAAGATGCGCCAAACCCATGTCCATATTCTACACTGACGGGAATGTGGTGTTACCTTGACAGCAGCTGAATATTGCTGAGAAAGTTTTTGACACTGGTCCAGTTTGGTTTGATTCGCCTCTATCTCAGCAAACAGCGCCTTCAATTCAAAAATAAATGCATTGTCAGAATTATGATTTCTAGGCTTCTTTGCAAGTTGGTTTTGCACCATTTCCTGTACGGATGCACACCACGGATTTCACACACTCCACTTAATTACTAAGCTAAAGTTCCCAAGTGAACATCACTGCATCCCTAATGGGGCAGGGACAGTATTCCTCCGGTCCTGCCCTGTCCTGTGTTTCCTTGATGTTCACAAGGGAAACTGGGAGCATCTGGTGGCAGTCCAAGTAAGACCAGAAGTGGACAGGACCTTGGAGAGCCCCTGGTGTGTCCTGCCCCTCCCGCAGCAACAGCAAGATGCTGCCCCAACAAGAGTCAAGGACACCCAAGGCTGACTGAACGGTCATGTGCTCAGGATCATCCACCCTGACACCCGAGGGCTTCACGAGGCCAGGGAAATGGAGAGCCGCCCAAGAGGAAAAAGGCAAGACTATGTCCTCTTGCTGAAATGGTGGACAGGCGTGTCCTCCAGCCACTGAATAAGGCACTGGACACTGGAAGGGCTGGGAGAGGGGGTGGCGCATTTTGCTTCCACAGCCAATCAGCCTGACGCCTGCGGGAAGCCCCCAAGCCAGGCGCCAAGGCAAGAGCCTCTCCCACTCCACAGCACAGCCAATGACTCTCCGCTGCAAAACCCAGCACAGCTTTATACTCCCCTGCCGAGTCTCCCCTTCCTGGCCATTTCTCTCAGCTAAGAGGCCCCAGTCACTGCAATCTTTCCTCGGTGGGAGCTGCTCCGACCCCTTCCTGCACCTTTTCTATCTCGGACAACCAGAACTGGAGACAAGGCACCAAACAGAGGTACACTGCGATTCTTTCGTAGTATAGGGAAGCGAATGTGCCACACACAGAAGCATGCTTCCCAGCACTCCATGCTTCCTGGTGTTTATTTCAAATCCTTGCGGCTGCCTAGCAGGGAAGTCAATTTCCAACAAAACTTGGTAGAAAGGTGGTACTGAAAGCCAAACCAAAGTTGTTCCAAATCCACCCCTTTCAATGCAGTCAAATAGGTATACCTAGATGATTCTGCCCAGCATCTCTTGAAGCAAATGATTACACACAGAACCTGGAATGTCTTCAGTACACTTTTGTGTGCTTGGAACACCTCTGCAAGCTCTGCAGGGCATTACAGACTCGTGAACGCAACGCCTAAGCTGGGGGCATGACTGGACCCTTCGGGCTCCCCGGGGCACTCCAGCAGGCTTACCATCTGTTGGCTGAGTTGCTCTGAGAGGACTCGGCTGTCCTCTGCTTGTCCAGGCTCCATCAGTTCCTGCTGGGATGTGGTCTCCTCGATCCACCGGATTAAGGACCCATGGCAGTTTCGGTAATCGCTCAGCACTTCCGCAATACTCTCCAGCTCTGATTGGCTGTCGAGAGATGAAAAAACAGTAAGAAAAAATAGGAGAAGGGAAGGAAGTGGAGCAGAAATGAACTTGGAGGCAAGTTCTTATATCCAGACCACCTAACTTTACAATCAAATATTGTTACTAGTCATGGTGCCTTATCGAGTAAAGAAGGGGGGGCAGCCAAGAGTTTATGGTTCCTGGCAGTTTATTGTGGCCCTGGAATGGAGATATCCTGCAGCTTTGGGCACTTACAACCTTCAGGTCAGTGCTGAGAATAGCTACAGTTTCAGGGGATAACTATTTAGTTGGCAACTAATCTTCAGCAGGGACCCCGCTTTGGCTCTGATTGCTGGATTCACTTCTGCACAAATCCCAGAACGGACAAAGGGCTCTTTCACCCCCTCCTCTCAGTGTGAGCAACAGTGGAAGCTTCTGCAAAACTGCCATTGCACAGCACCCCTTTCCTCAGCCTTTTCCCGAGAAGCCCTTCAGAATTCAGGCAAGGTGTGTCACAAGAGGGCCTGCAGGATGGAGGCACACAGAGAAAGTCCCTAGGGCAGGACTCAGCCCCCTTTCCCCACCGCACAGCCAAAGTGTTGTGTTAAAGGTTTGCAAAACAGAAGGTCTGGGGGGCAGCAAGAAGAGGGCAGACTGCTTAAGAGCATCAAGGCAGAACTGTGAGAATGAAGATTTTCTGCATCTCAGTTCAATGTGATCTTGAGGTTGCAACAATTTATTTGAGTTATTTATTAATGTTCCAGTAAGTCCTGGGATTTAAAAAAGAAACAACAAAAATACGATGTGTCACCTGTTCTCTCACTCTACTGTCTCCTCTCTTTTTCTCTCAATAGTTAGTATTTGCTTACTTACTGGAAGATTCAGGAGGATTTTTTTCTGCTTTTGGCCCAGTAAAGAGCTGGTGCAGGTGGAGAAAAGAAGGGCAGGACTACCCTCCGCCTACAAACGCCCACATGCATGGACAATGTCATGAGCTCACAGTATTATAGTCCCAAACTGCTGTAGGGAACCAGGTTAGCAGAAGAGGTAGCCACTTCTGGCCTCTTGGTTCAGGCATCCCTCTCAGAAGCTGCAGCCTTTGCTCTCCCATATCCCAGCCAAGCAACAGGGGCTCCAGCCCCACAAAAAGCAGAGTCCCAAAAAAGCAGCTTGAACTGACGTCACTCCAAAGGTGAACCTGCCTGCCTGCCTGCCTGCCGGGCAGCAGATGGCCCATCCTAAACGGCCAACTGCGAGGAGTGACCCGTGTGAGGATGAGCCAAAGACACCGGGTGCAGCCCCACCCCCTGCCTCCCTTCATATGGAGCGGCTGGCCGGAGTCGCCCCGCAGCCGCGCTCACCGTGTCTCGATCTGCGAGATGACCCTCTGCCAGCGGTCCCACAGCTGCACTCCCTTCTCCTGGTAGCGCTCCACATCGAGGCTGCGCTCCTGCTTCAGGCGGTACAGCTGGTCGGCCACGACCTTCGCCCGTGCCAAGTCATCTTCCAGCGTTGCAAAGACGTGGCTCTTCTCTTTCCCCTCCCTGACCCATTCCTGCAGCATTTTCCAAGGCAAGCACAAAATTGGCCATCAAACACCTGTGGACCCCGCCTGTGGGATTCAGGAAGAAGGGAGGCTGCGTACGGCTTCCAGGAAGGGCTGGAATGCGGTAAGGACTGGAGAGCAGATGCCCAAAGAGGGGCTTGCGCTAGCCAAACGTGGATTCTGAAGGGCAGCCCCGACACCTTGACTCCAGTGCCTCCGTTCTGTTGTTGAACACTGCCTAAGCAGGAATCAACCACTCGCTAAACCCAGCCCTCGCTAAACCCAGCCCTCCCGAACCTGGTGCCCTGCGAATGGGCAATTCATGCATTCATGTCAGTTAAAACTCATTTAATTGCTGGCAGGAACCCAAGGTGGCTTGAACAGTCCTCGTCTTCTCCTTTTAATCCTCACATTAGCCTTGAGAGGCAGGTTGGGCTGAGAGTCAGAGGTGCGCCCAAAGTCCCCCAGTGAGTTTCAGGTCCAAATGGGGACTGGAACTCGTTCTCCTGCGCCCCAGTCTGGCACTTGTCCACCACACCACACGGGCCCCAAGAATTATGGAAGCTGCAGGCCAGCCCATCCAGAGGGTGCCAAGGCGGGAAAGAAGGCTGCTCCCACCTACAGGCTCCAAAGCCACTTCCCAGCATGTGCGGAAGAGCAACTCTGCAAGCTACAAGCAACTCCCCGGCCGCCAACTCATTATCCCAATCCGGGTACCCATGGGAAAGTCCAGATTCGCCGACCCAGAGCCTGGGGGTGGCGGGGGACAGTCCATGCCTAAAGCACCAACACTGGGAACATATTAGGATTCGTTGGAACGCCCACCCCACTGCTGCGAGCCGGACCCGCTCAGTGAGCAGCGCAGCATGTGGCTGGGGCACGTCCTGCCCGGACAGCCGGTGTGGCCTGGAGGTGGCAAGAGTGCTGGGCTGGGGAGCCAAGTGCCTGTGTTCTGGCCCACGCTTGGTCACGGAACCACTGAGCGACTTTGCCCAGTCACAGGCACTCAGCCCAACCCACCTCGCAGGGCTGTTGCTGCGAGGACAAAATGGAGCTACGGAAGCCACCTTGGTGTGAAAACAACAGCAATGATGAGCATACTTTTTCCCTGTTCTGCCTTGGCCAAGCAAACCCTCGCCTCTTCTCCGCTCCCTTGTTTGGCTAATGTGACCTCTGCTGCTCTCTGCGGATGCCTACTTCAACTAAGCATCCAATCCTGCTGCTGGCCCCCGCTTAGTTGGGTGAATCTCATCAATTTCTCCATTCTACATCCGACACGCAGACAATCGGGCTCACCCGATTTGATCCAGGTCTTTGACTGCACTAACAGTGGACAGTCCCCCGCTCCTTGTGGCAAACCTCGTCTCCAGGCCCAGGATCACGGTGGGCGGGTCAGCGATGCGTGCTTCCTTTCTTTGGTGGGGGAGACTCGTGCCTGGGAACAGGGGGCGGCAACTGCCATCTATCCCCTGAAAGCGTGGGGCGGGGGGGACAAAGCTCTTTGCAGAAGTGAGCAGGCGCTCGAGGGCAGGGGGACTAGGCTCCTTGCTCACAAGCTTGCTGCAAGCCACACCCGCATTTCTGCTGCCCCAGTGCAAGCCAGCTGGGCTGCCAGCAGAAATTGGCGCTTGACTCGGAGAAGCAAGCAGGGCAGCCTCAAAGGCAAAGCCATGTGAGCAGTTCCTGGCCAAGCCGCAATCGCAGGAGACCGGCTTCTCCCAGGGAGCTGGCCGGCTGGCCGAAGGGTGCTGCAATGTGGCCCTGGACCACGGGAATGGCTGCTGCCCATGCCTGCCGACAGGGAGCCCTGCCGGGACCACCGACCTGCAACGTGGCCTGATGAGACCGGATGGCGGCCAGGTCTGCGGGCACGGCCTCCTCTTGGCTCAGTTTCACCTCATAGCCTTTGAGCACGGACTCGGCACCTTGGGTGTTGCGAATGATGACGTCAATCGTCTTCAGCCTAGCGGACAAAAGCGGGGAATGCAGCTTTGCTCTTCTCGCAGCACAGAGTTTGCCACCCAGCACAGTGCAATCATCAAACAAGGAAAATGTTCGGCACCCTCTCCCCTCAGTCCCCACCCCCACCACTGCCTGGTCTTCAACAAGACCCTCTCCCTAGCAGATATTTCCATCATAAAGAAGCAACACCATGTGCACACAAAGCATGTCACTGCACACAGGTGCGGTACCATGAATGCACTCTTCACTGAAAATACACATACATATGTATGTACACATGCGCGCGTGCATCCCCCCCCCAGCTCTGTGCTGCAGAGATGATGGGATAGGAAAATCGAGCTCCTTTAACATTCCAGTGAACATTCCAGTGTGTTCCCCTCCTTGCAAAGTACGGAAGGTCACCGCAACTTAAGGCACCCCCAAAACTACTTCCACTCCTGGCCTCTCCTGCATACACCCCCACTCCACATGCAGACCTATGAAATGTAATCTGCTTCATTTGAACTCAGCACACTTTTTGAAATCCTGGTGCCAGATATCCCAAGCAGAAACAACTGCTGGCTTTGCAAAATCTACCGAGATTTCCCCTAGGAATTCTGTGAAGATGGCTGAATGTTCTGGGATGATATGAAGTCCATCACATCCAGCAAGGTGTTGACAGCTCACCTCCCAGGTACTTTTCCCAAATATATTTACTTCCATTTTTCTGGAAGTAAAAATCAGCAGGGCACCTGGTTTGCCAGTGAAGATTCTGGGATCACCCACGGCATCTTTACTGAGGAAGTTTCCTGGCCGAGGCTCCCAGTAGCCCCCGCCCCTCACTGTTGGAAAACACTGGGCTGCAGGCAGTCGCCCTGTTGCTCAGGTGGGAAAATGTGGGTCTCTGTCTCCATTTAAGAGGAGAGCGGACCATAAGGACTCACTTGTCCAGGTAGACAGAGGAGAGCCCGTAGACATGGTCCATTCTTTCCACCAACAGGTTCAGCTCAGAACGAAGAAGTGGGGTGCTGGATCCCGTGGGAGACTTGTGCAAGAAAATGCTGCACCGCTCAGAAAGTTGCTCCATGTCTGCCTTGAGATGATGCAAGTCGTCCTTTAACCGCTGCAGGGAAAAGTGGGTATCAGTGGGAACGATCAGAGGTGCAGACCTTTCATGCCGTACCTTCAGAAACTAGCCCTGGGGACACATTAACCTCCACAAAGTTCATCCCAACCTGCCCGGGGATGAGTGGAGATTAGGTGGCCAGTTGCAGGCCTTTCAGTGATGCTGCGCGAAATCTGGAATCCTGAGCAGAGGCGAATTCGGCCTCATCACTGCCAGATCTTGGGCCTCAGGTGAAGAATGACCTATTTCAGCAGGCTCCCCACCGCCCTTTACATGAACAGGATTTGGCAGCTACCATAGAAGATACGGTTGCAACGTTGAACGTATTGTTATTTGTTGGGAGAGTTAATTCACTAAAAAGCGGGGGAGGAAAGCTCAAGCATAACAATGCAAACAATCTGACAATGGACATTCACAAGGGCTGCAAATTTTTAGGAAAACCATGAAGTTCCACGGGAATGGGCTGGGAGGTGAGTCTTTTGCTCACATAAATCCAAATGGTGCACATTGGTGGCTCCAGTTCTTCACCGATGCAGCCCAAACCCTGCGAAGTGAATTTATTGTGAGCGGCTTTACCCCTTCAAGTGCTGCATGGAATCACAACTTGTGCCCGATAGTCTGCGTCCGTGACATCCCCCATATGGAGGCTTCCGCCCCAAGCAGTTAAGGCCAGAGAGAGAGATCTGGAGTTCTCTCACGGATCTGCTGCGAGATGGCAACCCTGGCACAGGCCCTCATGGCAGCTCCAGACACCATCCCACCACCCGAAAACACCCACCTCCTGCTCAGCTATCCGGAACGTGTTTTCCTGCAGGGCATCCCCGTCAGTCCTGGTGCTGCTCGCTGTGCGAATGGTGCCCACAAGCCGCTGCTCACACTCCTCCAGGTGAAGGCGGATGTTCTTCAGCTCGGAGAGGTATGTTCGAGAGGCAGTCTCATCTTTGTCTTCTGTTCCCACACGCACAAAAGAGCAGACGTATTAGAAGCATTCCAAAACTGCTGTGCGAAATGCTCTGGAAGCTTCAGCTGGTTCCAAGCAGGGCAGCAGGAGAGTTAGCAGGGATGGCCCACGGGACGCCAGGGCACTCCCATCCACTCCAGCGGCCACTCCATTTCTGGGCTTCATTTCCACATGCGAAGCCCTCAGCCGGGCGGGGCCGGGCTGCACGAAGCAGTGTCTCTGCCCACTCGCACCTGCCTAGAGCCTGAGAGCGCCGCTTGTGGTCCTTCTCCCAGGGCCCCTTCCAAATATGGGGAGGAGGGCGGCTCCGAAGGACAGGGGCTTCCCCTGCTGTGGCAGCCCAGCCATGGAGCGAGCTGCCCAGAGTGGCTGCCTCGCCCCCACACAACGTTCTTCTGGACCTCAGGGCAAGAGCTTTGTGTTTTCTGGAGCCTCTCAGTGTTGCAGTTCCCGTTTTAAATCCAGCGCTGTTGGCAGCTTTTATGCGGCCATGCTTTCTGGGTTTTATGAAGTCATGTTGAGCTTTTATATTTCATCATCTTGTACTTTAGGGCTTTGATTTTGCGAAGTGCTCAAGGAGCTTTTAGCTGGTGGGCAGTAGAGAAACGTGCTAAATACGCTCCAGCTCTGCTGTTTGCCCTCCTCCAGAGAGGTTCCCATCCTAAAGGCAGAGGCCCCAGTGCAGCCCTGCTCCCTGCCACCTCCAGCTAAAGGACCCACCCCCCCAGCTCCTGATCCTGGAGAGCCCCAGCGGGTCACAGCTGCCGCCCAGCGAGGAGAGCCTTTGACTGCCGGCGTGACCGAGACACGAGCAGAGGGGCCCCCACCGACGCCCTCCAGCGCAGCCTGGGAAGGGCAGCGGGGGGGGGGGCTGGGAGCAGCCCCCCCAGGGGAAGGTGCCCACTCTGCTTTGCGTGCCTCCCCTCTTCCTGGCTGCAGAGGAGGGCAAGGCGCCTGACGCAGCACAGCCGCCGCCAGAACTGCCCGGGCAGGCGCCCTCCTCTGCCACGTGACCCACGACGGATCGCCACTGAGGGGTGGGAGCCGGGCAAAGGCAGCAGGCCTCCCCCTTCTCCTGCCCAGAGAGCTTGCAGGGTGGACAAGGAGAGCATGCCGCTTCCTCTGCTCCAGGTTAGCAGCAGGAGCCCCCCCCCCACCCAGCCAGACACAGGAGGGACCCAACATCCACTTCAGGGAATGAGCCAACAGAGCCTGGCAAGAAAGGGGCCACTATGGGGGAGGCCCTGCTGGTACGTTACATGCAAAATCCAAAGGGAGGCCAACAAGCTCATATCACACTGGAAGGACACACTTCTTTTCCCCACGAACCTTTTGCTGCATCCTGGTAAGTGTATGATCGAGCCACAGGTCGGCCTACAAAATTGATTTGAGGACCAGGTCCGACCCGGTTGCCCATCCAGCCGACATGGCCTTCAGTTCTTAAAATTTCTCGTATTGCTTCTATCCCCTTCCGCTGGAGCCTGACTCAGGCTCCCCCAACGTACCATTCTCCATCGACTGCAAAAGCTGCTGGATGTGCTCCTTGCATGAGTCCACGTCCTCCTCCAGGCGCAGCCGGTCAGCGACAGAGAACAGCTCCAGGTCCCGGCTGTCCTCCAAGAAATCTTCATAGTGCTCCTGCAGGGTCCTTGCAGACTGGTGGCATTCCCCGGGACCCACTGCCCTCAGCTGCAGGCAGAACACACACAGGCCATAGGGTGGCTACAGGCAACAGTCAGGCAGTCCCTCGGCGGTCACTGAACCTCTCACAGCCTTTGCCCAATGGAGGTCCTGCCCTGCATGTTTTCATTTGGGCCTGCCGTAGGTGCTCCAGATCAATAGCGGGGGTGAAGTTAGTGCAGAAGGACTGCTGCTTGTGCATGGAAAGAAGCTAACCAATGTTCATAGGAACAAAGAAACAGAGCGAGTCAGAAGGGTCCCCCGGGCCAACTAGTCTGACCTCCGGCTCCACTCATGACATGCCCACCATGTGCATGTCCAGCCTATCCTTGAACACCTGCACCGATGGGGCCTCAACGACCTCTCATGGAAGCCCATTCCACACCCTCGGGGTCCTAACCATCAGGAAATGCTTCCTGGCATCCAAATGGAACCGTGGCTCCCTGAGCTTTGCTCCGTTGGAGCGCGTCCTGCCTTCCTCTGCAGGGGAGAACAGGTCTCTACCCACCTCCGTGTGACACCCCCTCACACACCTGTATGTTCATTCCATTGCATAAATGAGCTGCTGATATTCTGCCCTTTTTTAAGTGCAAGACTTCAAGTAGAATTTTCTTTCAAGCTCCCTGCACTAGAGAAGTATCTTTTGCGCATGTTGGGAAGGGCTATTATACTGATGGTGTTGTATGAATGCAATGACAATGCATTATCGCTTCATTAATCTAGGTTTACCAGAAGAGGACTTGGGCTGCTAGACCATGCCTTGGTCCTCCCCGCTCCCTTAATCTTACACTGCTGGCTCTCCTCCCCATTTCCTGCTCACCACCTTCTAACTTCCTGTCCCGTCCTCCCCACCTGGGAATTGCCTCAGTTTAGCCTTGGCAGAAGCACTGCCCTCAGCATTTGCAGGGGTCGCAGTGTTACCTTCTCCATATTCCAGCTCTGCACCAAGGAGATGTCCTTCCTCAAATAGTTCCAGGAGACAAGACACTTCATGTTCACGTGGAGCTGGTGCCACTGGGCCATTACCTGCTGGTACAGCTGTTCCACCCTAGAACAGGAAGGCAGAACACAGCCCAGTGACTTTCCCAGACTTTCCCCATGAATGGAGCCAATGGTATCATAAAATCATAGAACAGGAGAGCTGGAAGGGGCCATGGAGGCCATCGGGTCCAACCCCCTGCTCTTGCAGGACAGCAAGCCACACCATCCCACTCAGATGGCTACCTAGTTTCTCCCTGAATGTCTCCAGTGTCGGAGAGCCCCCCACCTCTCCAGGCAGCTGGTCCCACTGTCGCATTGCTCTGCCAGTGAGGAAGCCTTTCCTGATACCCAGCCTGAACCTGGGTTGTCGCAACTTGAACGGATTATTCCGTGTCCTGCGCTCTGGCCTCAGCCAGAAGAGAGCTTGACCTTCCCCTTTGGGGCAGCCTTTGAGGTGCTTATGGAGGGGTAAGTGGTAAACTGCCAGCACTGTACACAGTGTGCTCCCGCATCTGCTCTTCTAATCAGGACTTTGTGCACTGCTTCTGCTCAAGGCGACTGGCTGGGGAGGGAAGTGGAAGTCAGGCTTTAAGCCGCGTTTGCCCTTCCCTGAATGATGTCTAGGTCAGCATGCAAATAGTTTTCCCAAACGGGACAGCCTTTGGCTCAGAAAAATGCCAACATGTATTTAAAATGTGCATTTTAGGGTTAAAGGTTTACAAATGGTGTGCAAACCAGAGACATACGGCAAATCTGTGTGTGTTTATTTTTTTATTTATATATTGATGTGGATCAGAATAAAGAATGAAAGATATGCAGAACAGATGCAGGCCGAAAACAAATGGACCCCCCTCCCCTGGCTGATGCTGTTACCCGCCATCACATTCCCCTGACACGCCCCCAGCACCGTCAGAATGCTAAAAGCAGACCGAAAGAGATAGGAACTGCCCCATCCCCAGTCCCAAAGCACCAGCACAACACTGCCAGAGCCAACCCTGTGCGGGACGAAAGAGGCACTCGATATTCCTAGACTCCAGCTTAAAAACTCTGGTAGACTGGAGAAGCAGACATCTCCATTTTCTGCCCCCTGGGACAGAGGGGCAGAGGCTACACACATCTTTGCTGCAATAAATTCTTAGGTCTTGGGATTCTGTACCTTTTGGCAGAATTTCCTGATTCTGCCTCATCTGCAGACCTAGCTCAGAAGAGTCTCCAGCCCCAGGGAGCTGACGGCACACTCCCCAGAGACAGCCCTGAGCGACCACTGAGGAGACCCTTCAAAGCTGTGGGGGCACTGGGGCTGCGCTAGGAAAACTGGGATTACTTTACCTGCCAGCCACGTCGACAGCTTCTTTATTGGGCGGCGGGATCAAGAAGCAGACGGAGGGCACCATGGCCTCGTTCCCCGTGGGGCTGATCACCTTCCATTTGGTCCGCTGAGAATTGTCTTCCAGGACACACTCGTCGTTTTTGCAGATGGTGATCTGTGAAGGCAGCGGAAGTGAGGCAGTGGCCCAGCAAGGGGCCTAGCTGGCCTGAGCTTGTAACAGTTTCTCCAGGAGCTGCTTTGGCATTTTTGCCTGGTCCCCAAGCAAGGAGTTTCCAGTAGAATTCTACTGCGCTTATCACAAGTAATTCTTGAAATAAAACTTCAGGTGGGTGAAGGGAGTCCCTCCACTTTACTCTTCTTCCTCACACTGACCCATAATCGACCCCAAACACTGTCTTTCCTCATCTTTGAACAACACTGCCTGATCTTCGTGCAGCCTGCATCCCGGCAGTGGGTGCAAGCTGCACATCCGTGTGTGCTGGGGGAAGAAATGTAAAGCTTCCGCTCACCGTTTTCTCTTTTCCCTAAATCTGATTTGATCTGCTGGCTTGTTAACCAGCAAACCTTTGCACAAGCCACGCTTTGCGTACTGCGATGAAGTGCAGCCGTGACTTGCTACAACAGCAATCAGAAGCTAAGCATTTCCTCTCCTCGTGAGCCAAGCTGGAAGAGGAGAGGGCTTTGCATGCCAGAGGCTTGCAGCGGTGAGTTTTCATAATGCTACGCTATGACTTTGTGTTGCACCCGACTGTGTTCAAATCGTCTCAGTAATTCATCTAATGCATCCTTTAAGCCAGGGCAGGAGTATTAGTCTCATACTGGAGATCCAGGGATCAGGCAGAGGAGCCTGTGAACACCGGCTCTGAAAGGTGATTGGCTTGGGAACGTAAAGTGCATGGGCTCTGGAGTCAAAGACATGCATTTCTGAGGCAGAGAATTCACAGAACCCGGCCAGGTAGTTCCGGCAGTTACCCACTCACCTCAATTTGGCGATAGTCACAGACAGCCTTCACAGAGATGGTGCTCTTCAGGACGTGGTCTGGGTTTCGCGGCTTAAGCTGGACAATGCTTTTGGATCTACCCACTAAGCTGGCAACAGAACTCTTGGACTGGATCAGCTGCTCCTTTTCATCCTGGCCAAAGAAAGGCAAAAGACCGTCAGGATAGGAGGGAGACAGCAAGAATGAGCCAGCGCACAAGCAGACCACAGGACCCCAAGCACGGCTGCAAACCTCGACCCATGCTCCCTTCTCTGGAGTGAGCATTTTGTCAAGGAAAGGTTTAGCCGTGTGTGTGTGTGTCCGTGTGTGTTTATGCATGCACTCACTGCAACTCTTCCAGCTGGGAGAGTGCAAGGAGTTCGAACTCATTCCAAATTTAATGCTATTCCAGATAAAAGGATTTGTTATTTCCTAATTCTCTCTATTCTCCCACCCAGCTAAAGCTGCATGCACACTTAATCCTTTACACCAGATCCAACGTTATCTGTACAATACTGAACATTGCAAGACCCAAACCCATCCCTTTTCACTGGAAAGAAAAATGCTCGGTTTCTGTTGTTTGCGAAATAAGGAAATAAAAGTAGCAGCAGAACTGTGTGAAAAAATTATTCAGAATGGTTGATGCATATACTTAAAGAAGTTAAAAACCTGTCAGAAAAATAGCATTGGAAAAATACAGGTGTGATCTTAGATAGGAAAGAAGAAATGAAGGAAAGAAGGAAAGACAGAAAGAAAAGTTCAAAACAAGCTACCTGTGCCTGTCCCAGGGGAGCATGGTTGGAAGAAATACAACTTTAACTCATTCATTATGATCAAGAAAGCAACTCACACACAGGGGCCAAAGCTCTTGTTATTGACTAAGTGTGGAAAATGGGCACAGTCCCGGTTGCCTCACTGATTCCAGGGCTTTAGCCTGACAAAACCTTTGCAAGACAGAAACAGTGAATGCCTGATGCTGATGGTCACCTTCCTTCCTTCCTTCCTTCCTTCCTTCCTTCCTTCCTTCCTTCCTTCCTTCCTTCCCTCCCTCCCTCCCTCCCTCCCTCCCTCCCTCCCTCCCTCCTTCTTCCAGGCTGGCCCTCTTCTTCCTTGGAGCAATCAGCCCAGGAGGACCACTTTCCAGCAGGCTCTCCTTCCGCTCCTAGCACTGCATCCTCTCTGCTTTGCAGCTTCCCTGGTTGCTGCTCCAGGCATGCTCCCCACAGGGCCGGCTCCCTGCCTGCGTCCTATGGTCTAAGAATCACCCCGTGTAGATCAACAGGGCCAGACAGGACAACTCCATACTTCCTCCTCGGTGCTGGTGAGGAATTCAGAATCTCAATGATCCAAGTGATTCATGGATCTAAACATTAAATCCCAACCTCTGCCCCCAAATAAGGATTGTTCATTGCAGGGAGGCCGTTTTCAGACGTTCTGCATGGAGAGCTGAGGGTGCACTCACTGGCTCTCTGTTTCCTCTCTAAATATCCTTCGCATACATTGCTCTCCCCCAGTGCTCACCTTCTTCCCCATTTGCTCCCTTCCCTTCCTCCTTTCATGCCCGCCTAACTGCCTCTGGCCGCAACGCTTTCCAAACCATGAAGTGTTTCCATCCATCAAGACCTTCCTCCCTTTGCCGAAGACTGCCCTCCAGCGGTCTCACTATGCCACCCTGATGCTTGCCCACTCCTTGCGCACTCCTCTTGTCCAAAGGCCCCCACATGTGGAGGCTCGAAGCCCAGTGTGCAGGGTCTCCATCAGTGCCAGGCCCTGTGATGCTCAGTCTGCACCACAGGGCCCTGCTCAGGTACGGGCTGCTCCTGGCCGTCCCTGGAGCCCCTCTGGGCCGAGTGGACCACAGGGCTGCCTCACGCCAGGTGGCAGGGCACTTGCTTTGCACCACCAAGCCCAGCGTCCCCAGCAGCAGCGCTGGGAAGTGGCTTTCCTGCCTGAAACCCGGGAAAGCCAGGCTGACCAGCTGGGGCTGACGACACAAGCTAGCGGGACCAGTGATCTGAGCTGGCATACGAGATCCACAGGCATTCATGGTAATTCGCGGCAGCAGCCACCAGAGGCAGCAAAATGAAAATGAGCGGCACTGGAGGTGGTGGACAGGAGGGCATCTCCTGGTGCGGGCAGGTGGAACGGAAGAGGAGGAGAGCTCTGGGAACAATCAAGGGGAAAACACACACAGTCCCAGCTGGTGCGCACATCCTCGCTTTCTTTGTAAGCACAAAGCAGCTCGCAATGCCAGGGTCATATAATTTGTCCAAACAATGGAAGGATTCCCGGACACGCAGGAACGCTACTGACGTTGGTCCACAACAGCAACGGTGGGGAGGGGTGTCGGGTGATCGAGGCCTTGGTGCTCCTCTGGTGCAATCCACCAGCCGGCACAACCCCAAGGAAAGGGGCACTCACCATGGAATCCTGGAGCAGATCCTCCAAGCGCGTCAGGCTGGTGTTGCGGTCACATGAATACTTCCTTTTGATGGCATCCTGGAGGTTCCTCAAGTACGACTCTGAATCTCGGGCATCGCTGAAGAACTGCAAGAATGCATTTACCGAAAGATGAGCCAGAGGTTTCAATACAGTCAACAAAAGAACAGCAGGAACAATTCCGTTCTGCCAGACTGCAAGAAGGAAGTGTCGACAGACTTGATCAAGGCCTGCTCTGTATCAAGAAGAAAATGTTTTCCTTTGGGCTACTCCATTAGAGAAATAAATGTCGGTACAGCCTGGCTTGCGTTTGTTTTGTCAGGTACAGAAGAGAGTAGAAAGCCACCAGGCGATGGCAGATCTTGGGCAATGCGGCCACCATCACAAGCACTAGCCCCACAGGCCAAGAGCTGATGTGCTGTCCTACCGGGAGAGCAAGAGGAGGGAGTGAGATGGAGACGGCGGCTGAGGGCACGAGGGAGGGGAAGGCAGCGGCAAATGCTCCTGCTGCGGGCTGGACTTGGGCACACTGGGGGATGGCGCTGTGAGCTGCTCCCGCCCAGAGAGGCCTCACCTTACCTGGAAGTAAGCCGTGTTCTCCTTCACATGCTGATCCACGCACAAGCACAGCTGTCGGATCCACTGCCACTGAGTCTGCACGGCCGCACTATATGCCTGCAGAAATAAAAGGAGAGCCACACTGCAGCCCTTCCCCCAGGCAGAGTTTCAGCAGGTCCCTCTGGCTCTTGGTGCAGGAAGGCGGACGCTCGATGCCCCCTTCCCTACAGACACATGCAAGCCATGTCAGTGCAAGCATGGAGCGCGCGCACCTTCCGAAGGAGGCAAGTCTTGTGGGAGTAAGCACCGGGCACACACATCCTTTACCTCGACGGTCTGCTTGGCTGGGTGGTTCTCCAGCGACAACATCTCGGCTGTCTCTTGCAGAGAGCAAAAGACCTCCTGTTTCTCCTCGAGTTCTGTTGTGAGCTCCTGTACCACAGAGGCACAAAAAAGGACATGTTAATCTTCCTGCAGCCAAACCAGGCAGTCTGCTTTTCTCTCTCTTGTATCGATGGGACAGATGACTGCATGCAGTGCTGTTTGGAGATTCAGTTTAGGAGGGCATCTGCTGTGAAATTCCATGCCAGTTTGGTGCACAGTTGGATGTCCACCTGGGTTCACTCCTCCCTCTGCCCAGGGGGAACATGTGTCCAGACTTTCTGTCTTGGGCTTGGGCTTCACAGCTCCTCCCAGCCAGTTCGTACCAGCTGAGCATCTGGACAGAGCAGCTGTTGAGCAGCCATTGCAGTGGTACCTCGGCTCATGAACTTAATTCATTCCACGACTCTGGTCGCTACCCGAATTGCTTGCGAGCCAAGTCAAATTCCCACATAAGGTTCAATGCAAATAAGATTAATCCATTCTGTAAATATTTTTTTTAATCACAGGGAAGACGGGCATGTTCGTGGGCATGCTTGCGGGGGGGTGAGGAGGAGACGGGCATGATCGCAATCATCACCCAATGCGGCGTTCACGTCCCGAGTCAAAAATTTTCTGAAATTTCTGTTCACGACCTGATTTGGTCATGAACTGAGGCATTTGTGAGCCAAGGAACCACTGTAACATAGCAAGTGAAAGAGCAGAAAAGAAAAAGGGATAAAGCCCCCCATGGAAATGGGCCCACTCCGTAACGCTGCTGGCACTCAGTGCGGTCAGCCTGTCGAAGGGTGCAGCATGGAAGCTCAAGGGACCTCAAATTTCCCAAGAGGAGCTGCTGCCCAGGGAGGCCAAGCCTTAGATACGATCGAGAGAAAATCGTCCTTGCCACATCATTTCACCCTGGAAGGCTCCTCTGCAGCCCAGGCGCCGACCACGCACCTTCTGGCCAGGGTGCTTCATCCAACAACATGGGACAACCTGAGCCACAGCCTTCCTTGGGAGAGATTCCCCTTGACCCGCAGCATTTTCTGCTGACCCTGAGATGAGAATTGCGAGAACCGGGGCTGATTCAGCAGAAGGTGTGGGCAACTGAGTTGCACTAGAAGCCTTAGACGTGGCCTTTTGCTTGTTCTTTAGCTGGGGAGCAGCAACAGCGAAGAGGAACTGAGAGGGAAAATTTGTTTCCCCTCTTCCCTGATTAGGGAGCTGAGCCAGTTCTGTTCTAATGACCTGCTGAACTGTTCAAACAAGGCCTGGATGCTGGTGGGGTGCAGGCTGTTTTGTAGCTGCATTTCCTGTGATGAGGCAGAGTGCCTGGAGGGGACCCAGGCTCCACACAATCTGCTGGAAAAGGCTGCTCTTGCAGAATGCACGCTGCACAAGCCTGGGAAAATGCGACTGACTGCTGGAGCTAAAAGGCTGAGCCTGCCAGAGCTTCCTCCTAGACCCGGGGGCTGCGGGCGGAGCGGGGAGGGAACGCTCAGGTGCTCTCTAAACTCATCCAGAGGATGCCTGGATTGACCTGCTCCAAGGCAGGGCTACAGAGAGGAAGCAACACCCCAGTCCTCCAGGGCTCCACTCCGATCCTCCTGTGAGGTGTCGTGTTGTGTTGTGGGGCGGGGGGGATTTATTTTTCTTCAGAAGGCTTGGAGCTCTTTGTGCTAAGCAGTGCCATGGTATGGCAAAAAGGCTGCATTTTTTCCCTTGAGAGATAGGGCTAAACAGGGAAAGGGAAGAAAATTGTCGAAGGTAAGAGGCAGCACAAAAATGAGGCCTGGGGAAAAAGAGATTGCTGAGCAGAGATCTGAACCAGCTCTATCCCAGGCAAAAGTAAGGAATAAGCGGGCTAGGAGGGCCCACGGAGTGCAAGACCGAGGCAGAGCATGTGCTGCCCCTGTCCTGGGAGCGGGGAGGGCCCACCCCAGGATGGATGGCTCCTGTGCACCAGATGGAAATGAGCCTTCAGCGCTTCTCTGCCTGCCTGACTGTAAGTAATTAATAACCTCTAGAACCCAAAGTGCGGAGTTGGGCTAACGTAGCTTCTTGGCTGGAACACTGGATTTGGACTTGAAACACAGAAGTCCATTCATGAACATGTTCGGTTCAAGGCACACAAGAATCTGATTAGATCTTAAACCAGGGCAGCACAACCCGTGGCCTCTGCATGTTGCCAGGCTAGGATGCTCACGATCCTGCACTCTCCTGGACCATTCCAAAGGCTCACGAACAGAGCATCAGCAGGGCGAAGAGCAGAGCACCATGCCACCCATGCTCCCCAGAAACAGGCATGCAAAAGCAGGCAAGTTGCTGATGCAGGGAGGTGGGGTGCGGCCATCCCGATAAGCATCATGAACAGTCTCATCCTCCACACATTTGTCCAACCCCCTCTCAAAGGCATCAGGGTTGGTGGCCATGACTTTATCATGTGGAAAAGTTTTGCTATATTTTCCTGTCATCTGCCCTTGAAGTTTCCTAGGGTGACTCCAAGTTCCAGCGCTCTCTCCACAGAACTCACTCATGTTTTGCAAGTGAAAACCTCCCAAACGCTGCACACTTTCCTCGGAGGGGGAGTTCTTCCAGCCCCTTTGTTGGTTGCCCTTTGCTGCACCTTTTCAAGGGATGGACGTCCCTCCAGAAGGGGAGCGGTGCTCAGCATCCCAAGCTGGCTGAGGCGTGGGCTGGGATAAAGGCATAATGGGATGGACAGTTTCTTTCTCCTTTTCCATCACACCATTTGAGGGATCAGCATTTTCCACTCACCGAGAAATAATTCCGCTTGGCAGCCATGTTGGGGTTATTGTCGCTCCAGTCATATGCCAACTCCTCCTCTTCTTTCTCGTTTAGCCAAATTAATTCGGTTGTTGCTCGGGACACAAAGTCATACAAACTTTGGAGGTGACGCAGGCGGAAACTGGAAGTTTCCTGCATAAAGAGGAAACCATTTTGTCACTTTTCCAGCTGTTCCGGGGACTGCTGGCTGAGCGACTGCCCTCGTTCCCAGGCGCTCTTCTGGAGGAGCCCTACAGACCAATCTTGCCACAGCCATCTTCTATTAGGAGGGTTCTGCAACTGCATTTCAGCACCAACAAGACACATTCACAAGTCCCTTCTCCATAGCGGCACTGACGTTCGCAAGAAATGGATGCTAATACTGTTCAGCTTTTTAAACAATCTAGCTACCTGTGGAACTGTATGTGCCATGTCTAAAGTAATTTCTAAAACCATTAGATTTGCACAACAAGGAATAGTGCAGGTATGCAGGGGCGGATTCCCGTGCTTATCAATTATTAGGTCGAGAAATCCAGCAGGGAGGGGCGGCCTGGCTCTCCTGAAGAGAAACCAGTCACAGCCTGTCTTATTGCACAGGGGTCATAGAATCCAAGAATAAAATGTCATGCTTTAACGGCCGCCCAGATGGTGCAGAGCAAACGCACACCATGGGCAGGCGTGCAAGATGAAGTGGGAGCCATGAACAAGAATTACACATCCACTAATTGAGAAATGGAGTTGCAACAGGAAGGCCCTCAGGGACACGAGGGCAGAATTCAGGCCATCAGAACCAGAAGGGCTTCGGAGGGCTTCACACAGCCTGAACGCCTGTGAGAGCTCATCCTCTTGGCCAAGGAAGCAAACGCTGCAGGACACACTCACCACCAGCTTGCAGTGCTGCGTCTCCAGCTTGCTAAGGGTTTCGGTATAGCTTGTGCGGAAATTTGGAGACATTTTACTCTAAAAAGAGGAAAAGCAATAAGGACAGGCATGAGAAGCTGTTTCAAATTTGAAAGCAGTGCTGAAAACGCACAGAACTCCGTCTGAAATCCCCCCGCCCAGTGCCACCTTCCACAATCCACGTAAACCTAAGATAATGAGGAGTAAAACATGGCACAGCTAAGCCCAAAAGCTCCACTTACCCACCTTATCTCTGTCCTCCTTTCGGGCCCTCCTACATCCTCAACAAATGAAAACACTGCCTCAGTATTCATTTCACCCTTAAGGCAGTACTGCAGAAGATGCAAAGCACTGCTTGTCTTCTCCACATAACAAGAACTTGTGTGAAGGGAAAACAGGGAATAATTACAGTGAAAGATCACCTTGGTATCTCTCTGCCTGATATATATTATATGGAAAGGCCATAAATAAATAAATAAAGCAAGCAAGCAAGCGCCCATTCGTGCAGTTGAAGCCTTCTCTCCTCCAGTCTAAAATACAATCCACCTCCTTCAGGTTTGCCTCCATCATGTTCTCTAATAGAGTTAGCACATCGAGGGTGGAGCTCTACCATCTCTCTGCCTCCCTTCTACCTCCCATCCTTGCCAGTTTTTCCAATTGGTGAAATTTTGCCCTAGGCTTGATGTAGGAAACTTCCATGAGTCCGGGGTCTGCAAGGCTGCCCCAGATCCATCTGGAGTTTCACCCCATCCCCAAAATTGGCTTTGACAGAGTCTCTTTCCACTGCCGCTGCAACAAATTTCAGCAGCAACTGGCGCTATTGCCTTTAAGGACTTCTCCACCTGATGTTTGCCAGTGTTGCTGCTTCCATTTTCTCTGCAGCAGAATTGCAGCATCCTTCGAATGCTCCCCCCAGAGGTTTTCTTCTCTGCCATTCTATATCACGCATGCCCGTTGCACAGCACAAAGTGGTGCTGTGCTCCTGCAGTGAACAATGGCACCATCTAGGAAAATACCAGGCTTTCCTCACTCTAAAAACAAGTTGTAGAAAGGGTGGAAAACTCAGGAGAGGCCCTGGAGCAGACCTGGGCATCGTATGGCCCACGGGCCACATCCGGCCCGATGACTGACCCTGACTGGCCCGCAGGAAGTCACTGGCAAATTAAAAGTCAATGCAAATATATATCGACATAATATAGATGCAAGCAATACGACTGCACTGCTTTTATTTTGAAGAATCTGCTAAAATGAATTTAATTTATTGCTTTCATGTAATGTTAATGTTAATGTTTTTGTGAATATTCATTGAATAGTGTTGTTCTGTGCTCCACATTTTCATTGCATCACTGTAAAGTTACTGTTTTTATAGAGATATATATTGAGCAGAGCTGTAAGTGCATTGGTCCGGCCCTTAACAACTGTCAAAGTTTCTCATGTGGCCCCATAGGAAAATTAACTGCCCACCCCTGCCCTGGAGGATGTGGGTGTAGTGAGAAGGCCCTGCAAACTTCCCTGCGTGATGGGTCACGGACACAGAGCAAAGGCCCTCATGCAGAAAAGCCCGTAAAAGCAGGCCACTTTTCCTCACCCTGCATCACCACATTTCGCTGGCAGTTCAGCGACACGGCAGGAGAGCAGGGCCCCCAGAAGTGCCTGGGGGACCACATGTAGCTTGCTCTTCCCCAGAGCACACCTGACTAGAACCTTGGACTCCTAAACAGTCCAAGGTCGTGTACTGTGCACGTCACACAGGAGCACAGGCTTTGGCTCAGGAATTCACCAGCAGCAGCTGTGCTGACCGCCAGCAACTTGGATGGCTGTATTCCTGGAGGATAAGGCCAAAATGCGGGACATGGCTGGGAAGACACCCTTGTAGTCCCACCCTGCTTGGAGGCGCCCCGTGAACCGCTGGCTGGCCATGGTGCGAACAGGATGCGAGGTGAAGCGGCCTTTGGCCTGACTAACAGGGCTCTTCCTCCGTCCTTACGGGGATCAGGCTGGCAGTTTTGAGAGGAGGGTCATACTGAGAAAAGCCAGGCCTGCAGAAGTGGGAATTAACTTTGTTCCTGTTCCAAAATTATGGAGACATTTCCCGTTTGCAACCCTGCACATGAACATGATCAGGAATGCAATGCTTCAAAAATTTAGCAATTTCCCCAGTGTATGTTTGTGTCTGAAAGTGCACACTCACTGGTTTTTTTGTGACAGAATGCGCATTTACCCCAATTGGAAAGAATGTGTGGCGATGCAAAGCAAATGAAATGAGCTTCGAGGAAAACTTTGACGAATCTGGGTGAGCTTCAGCACACCTCATTTGCCCACCCCGACAAAGAATCAAGCCCTGGAGGGGGCTGCCCGACTACCTGTCTGACAAAACTGCTGTGGGCTGTGGATGAAAAGGGTGAAAAGATATGCTCCCCGATTATCATGGATGTCACCCAGATTCATAATTCTAGCATGCATCCCTTGTCACCAAACACATAGTGCAAACTAAAGTCTATTATGAGCATTTATTTATTTATTTTTCGATTTATATCTTGCCTTTTCCCTACAAAGGGCTCAAGGCAGCTTGCATCATTCTCCTCCTCCATCTTATCCCCACAACAACCACCCTGTGAGGTAGGTTGGGCTGAGAGTCTGTGCCTGGCCCAGAGTCACCCACTTGGCTCCATGGCCGAGCGGGGACTCGAACCCGGATCGCCTGAGTCCCAGTCCCATGCTCTTCACCACTACACCACACTGGCTCTCCAGTGGCTCTCCGCTGGCTCTCATATTTGTTTTGTTAAGTTTCAAGATTGAAAATAAAACAAATATTTGTAAATAAAGATAGACATTGGAAAATGTGGGAATGTGCTGCTTCCTTCCAAATGAAAATAGGCCCAAGCAGGCACCTTCCCCTGGAAATGTTCAGTGCTCAGAGAATGGGGCTACAGATAACGAAACCTCCTGGCCCTCTTTGGAGCCTTCTCAGCACTTCTGCATCTTTCCGAAGTAGGCTGATTCAAGTAGCCATTCGCACAACCAGGACTTACTTCATACATCCTGGCCTCTTTCACACTGGCACCCAGGTCTTCCACGCTGCTGTGGATCTGGCGCTGGACTTCCAGTTGGGAGTCTACGCTTGGCAAGTCGCTCCCCCATTCAGCCCGCTCCAGCCTCATCTGACATAAACACGGGAGAGGCAACCGTTGGGCAAGCACGGCCAAAAGGACAGGCGCTGCTGGCCGCAACCTGTTTCGTAAGAGGTAAGCAGCACCTCTGCCCTGTCACGCCAGTCTGCCAGGGGCTGCACAAGCCAAGCCGCATTTAAATTGCTGCAAGCCACCCAACAGCTTTGGCGACTGGGCAGTCTCAAAATGCAACGAAATAATGTAAGGACCCTCACCCACCCTCCCTCCCTCCATTTTCTCCCACAGAAACTAAACAGGTGTTGTGAACTACACCACCTGTGGACCAAACTAGCACAGCTACCCAGAAAGGTGCTTCTGGAAGCTTTCCCGAGGAGTGGCTCAACCCAGCACCAATTCCTATTTTTGCCTCTGTATTGTCTGGAAGATTTCAAATTTATAATGCCGTTATTTGTGTTTGTAATAAACAGAGTATTCTCCTTTTGTGATTTGCGTGGTAGAAATAATCACAATAATAACTTGCATGGCAGAAATAATTGTGAATAATCACAATTTAAGGAATTCACCATGCTTGTCCTATGTTCCATCACCAAATATTTAAAGTCACATGCAGATGCCCCTCATCACCTAAATTTTGCTCTTGCTTTATACCCCGCCACGCACCTGCATTTCTTCCACCCAAGAGAGCAGCTCGTACACAAACCGGAGGTTGCCCTCATCCTCGGAAGAGGAGATGGCCACCAGCTCTGTGCGTGTCATCGGCTTCCGGACCCAGGAGGTGGAGCCTGTGGTGGCAGCTGTGTGCGTCCCCTTCAGCAAGGGCTCAGCCTTAAAGTGCCTGGTGCTCAGAGAGGAAGACTGAACCAAGTCCAGGGAGGAGGGGGAGGAGAAGTGTCCCTTCCGGTAAAGGTTGGTGCACTCCAGCCTCAAGGTGACCAGTTCATCTTGAAGCCGCACGATCCTGCGGGGGAATCGAGCGAGCAGCGGGATTACAGCAGAATCACAACAGAAAGAGAGCAGGATGTCTCTAGGGCACAAGAGAGGTGGGGGACAGCAGCTCCCCTTGGAAACCAAGCAGGCCTACCACGAGGCAACACAGCCGCCCCGTGCAGAGGTCCGATCCAGACCTGACCCATACAGGACCTGCGGGAACGTTCTGCAGGAGACCCCGTAAGCACTTTGGGGCTGTCCCACAAGCCTCGGATCAGCTCTGCCCACACAGGCCTGAAGGGCAGTTGGTGAATGTTCACCGGCACTCCACCTGCCGTCGGGGAGGACCTGCTCCCAAGAGGCAACACCACGCTGAGAATGCCACGTTTCATCTCCCTTCGCAGCATCTGCCAGAGCCCCTTCCAAGTTCAACCACGCACAAACATGGCTTACTTGAAGACCAGCTCCTCCAGCTGGTAGTAGTTCTCATCCCGGAGGATCTGAACATCCACCTGAAGTTGACGGAGAAGCCCTTCACACTCCTGAAGGTACGTGACAACGTCAGACTCATACTGCACTGGCTGACCTGACTCCATGTGCAACTCGTCCTGCAAGAGGTGATGGAAGAGAATCAGTGTTTTCCTCCTTTGGTGGACTTCTAGGATGATGCCCAAAGCAAGCAGGTTCGACTACCCTGGGGGGAAAAACCCTAGCAAGAAGCCATCACTTGTAAGTCCTACTCAGCCCCTGGCTGAACTGTTGTGAGGCCACGGAATGGTCATCAACACTCCAACTCATACGCGGCAAGATGCCAGGCAAGGACACACTGTCCAGCCCTAGTTCTTCTGTGAGGAACTTGTGTTTGGGTGCATTTGATGTGGAGCTGCAAATGAGAGAAGCTGCATTCCCGGAGAGCAAGTGGGAGCAAGGAGCAGATGGAATGGTGGAGGCAGTAGGGCTGAGGGACAGGAGGCTGCCTGGAAGAAGCCTCACAGGAAGAGGACGAGGTAGCAGAGAGTTGTGGAAAGAAGAGATGAGTGCCTAAGAAGGAGAGGGGAGCTGAGAAGGACCGAGCAACTCTTCACCCTGCCCTCGGAGGCAGGAGCTGTGTGTGCTTGAAAGAAAACAGGAGGGGGAGGCAGGCGCGCCTTGGGAGCTGGATACTGCATTAAGCCTCGCTGAATCTGAACCTCACAGCCAAACTAGCCCACTCCATGCGGTTTTTTTTCTCAGTCAGGGGGACCAAGAGTTTTTGTTGCTCTTTAAATGTCAGGAGGTCCTGATTGCCTGCTTTTTTCACAATAAGATGCGAAGTTGGACATTCCAGATTGTAGGGGTGGATTTGGGAGATGGACCGGAGACCCTGGGAACGGCCCACAGGGGAAGACTCACAGCGTGCAGCGTGTTCCTCGCCAGAGTGAGCTTCTCCTCACAGCTCAGGGTTCCATTCTGAATTTTGTTTGCTCTCTGTAGCAGCAACTCCAGCCTGCAAGAAAAATGTCAGAGATACCCCTCAAAAAATCAACACACAGAGAAACAAGGCTGTCACTTCTCGGAGCAGAAGACAGCTTTGTTATCCAAGCATACGGATAAGAGAGGACACATGTCAAGACAGCTGAAACTTGGCATGTGGGCTAAGGGAATGCCAGAGAGGGGGACCTCAGGCCCAACCGCTCCTTGAAATGCATTAATTAGAATTAATCAGTGTAAATGCACTCATCTGTTGGACACCTGCAGTGCCATCTTCAGTCACTAGATGGGGGACTTCCTAGTCAGCACATGGTTCTGCAGTCAGCCTGTCTAAGGGACAGAGCTATGCGCCCTTTCCCGCTCCTGCTCTGGGGCAGGGACAGACCCCTCCTCAAGGCACCACAGGAGGTGCTTTGCCTCACAGTCCACCAGGCATGGCTCATTCCGGTGGGCAGGCACGACGTGTCCATCTCTGAGCGCTGTTTAGGTTTCTTTGATGTACCAAGCTGTGCACCCGCCTCAGGAAGGGTATGCTGAACACACACACCTCCACAGCTGTCTTATTCACAAGCCTCTCAGGGCAAGCGTGGATGGTCTTTCTTTGCAAGTCTTTCCCTCTACCCACTACACTGAGACTCAGCCAGCTGGGAGATGCCTTCCCCAGGGTGATGGCTTTTGCCTCCCTTCCCCTCTTCCTGCCCAGAAATGACAGAATGCCCAGTGCTCTGTCCGCAGTGCCTACCCTTCTGGTGGCACCCCTTCCCCAGCTCCCTGGAGCAAGCCTGGTCCAACTCCTGAGGCTCACCTCCTGCTTCCACCCACAATATTGAGCCCAGTCTGGATGAGCCTGCAGACCTGCCCCCTTCTTCTGCTGGCAAGTCCCATCCCTCCCACCCAAGGAAGCCAGAACAGCAGCTGTAAGTAGGTGCGTTTCTCCCTTCTGTCCTGGCCCAAGGCTCTTTCCTCTCCTCCTCCCAGAACTTCCTAGGCTCTCGAGAAGGCCCAGCTGCGGCTGCGGAGGGCTGGCTCACTTTGTGATCAACCTGAGGCCTCCCAGGCAGGCCTTCATGCCACTGCACTCCTCCGACTGAGCTGCCTGGCCTCGAGCTAGAGTGCAAGCATGGCTTGGCTGGCGGAGCCTGGAGGCCCATTACACGAGGACTCTTCCAGCCCATAAGAAGCCACAGCCGTTAGCTAGCAGTGTGTGCATCACTGCCCAATTTGTTGGCTCATTTTGAATTCCGCCGGTTTAGTTTGCCAAGCACTCAGAGTGTGACTGCGGTCACATCCTCACGAGGCCCACGGAAGGATGTCGGTGTCGCCCCACCTTTCCACGGCCGGCCGCAGTAGCTTCTCTCGCTCCAGCATCTCCAAGATGAGCTTGCCCCACTCTTCCTCCACGTCATTGGGGTGGTAGCCCTGTGGCAGCTTAATGCGGCCAAATTCAATCCAGGTCTGGAAGACACAAAGGAGGAGCAGCTGAGTCTCCCTGCCCTGTACAGAATTAATCTGTGCCAAGACTGCCCTTCAGCTCTCCCCACAACTGCCCCACTCTGCCCAGCCCCAGGCTGAGGTGCAAAATGAGCAGTTAAAGCTCCCCTGGGGAAATAAGAATCAGCAAGTTCCCACAAGGACTCCCTTCCCCTCTCCCCCACAAACGTTTTTTGCGATGTGACCAAAGAGTTTAGCACCACAGCCGGGGAGCTTCAGCGGTGGAAATCTCCCACCACTCCGTGCACCCATCATTCTGTGAGGGCAGCATTTCCGGCCTAGTCCCAGTTCTTTGGGTGGGAAAGAAGAGCCCCACTGGACAAAGCCAGGGATCAGCCCCAAGCCCAAAAGGGCATCTGCCCTCCGCTCTGCCAGCACCTGTCTCCCAGGTAGCCCTCTCACGAAAACTTTCCTTTTGTGCAGTAGCGAAGTTGGACAAGCAACTCCTTTTCCATTTGCTGCTGCAAAACTTCACTGGCAACATGTTCACAAAGCCAAACTCAGCAAAATTGCCCATGCTGTAATTTACGGCCCACACGATTTTCTTGCTCTGTTTTAAAGCAATGCCTTATCATGCTTTGTTTGAAGCAAAACCACAGCGATTACTAATAGCAATGATTGTACATGCCCCTGTCCACCCAAACACCTCTCTCACCTCAAGCAGCTTATACAATTTCTCAATGCTTCCTTTTTCTTGCTGTTTTGCTGGGATTTCTGTTTCCTTGAAGTGGATATATTGGTTATAAAGTGCCTGCATGAACAGAGAGACAGAGAGCTATGCATGGCATACTCAAGGAAGAGTAAATACTAAAAAAATAATTGGCTCAGAAGGTGGAGGGAAAAGCATCACCACTCATATGGAAGCCCCAAAGATTCTATAGCTCTGTGGTTGATTACAGAAGCTGAGAGAGCAGACAGGAGGCCCCCAGTCCTTTTAGGGGTGTGTGGCTTTTCACCTAAAAAGGATGAAGAGAGTCCTGGCCTTACACAGGCCCTGAGCTGTGATCTGAGCTGTGTCTGATCCCGAACAGCTATTTCCAAGGGACTCAGACTTAATATCTGGGGAGAGGACAGCTTCCGGCAATCCTTCATTAAAGGGCGGTAGCAAAAAGAGGGATCCATACTGATTTGACTGGAGAAAACGGATGCAATTTTACCTTGAGCTCTACAGGGTTCTGGGGGAAAGATTTGTCAGACATCATTATCGTGTGCTGCTTGATCCAGGAGATCAGCGTTTCCACGTGATTCTGGTACTCCAACCACCGCGTGTCCACTTCCTGCCGAGAGAGAGAGGGAAGGACCCTTGAGGAGGAGCGGTCAAGAAGTGCACCCCCCCCAGACAAAGCACCGCAGCGAGAACAGGCAATTGCCGCTGGGGCACACGTGTCTCGCTTAGTTTCTTCCAGTGCTGCGCCTGCTGACAAAGGGGGCTCGGCCGGCTCGGGCTCTGACGCGAGCACCCATGCGCCGACAGGCTTCCACCAGACGCGGTGAGCGTGCAGGGAGAGGCCTCCACAGCCGCGCTGGCACTGTAAGCAGGCAGCGGGCCTGAAAAGTCCCGGCCTGAAGCCGCTCCTTGCCCTGCCCCTGCCAAGCAGGCGAGCCGCTTTCCACCCCGTTTCTGCATGGGGGGCACAGAGGCGTTCAGAGGCACACTCCATTCCTCCCACGCTGCGGAACAGCCTCCCACAGCCCAGCGCCTCAGAAGTTTCGATTCATCTCCTATCAGCCTTGGCAGCTTGGCCAACAGCCAAGGGCTGCAGGAATTGTAATCCAAGAACATCTGGAGGGCACTAGCTTAGAGAAGGCTGCTCAGGAAGTCACTGCCCAAACGCGGGTCAGCCGAGTGGCTGCGATACTTCAGCACGTTGCCCCCTTTCAGGGGAGTTCACAGGAATCAAGGCGACTTTTGTTAAGAGCTATTCGCAAAGCGCTTCCGAGAGAGGCCACGTCCGGGGCTTGTGCTGCACCAGGGTGGCCTGTCCAGCCTCAACAAGCAGCCGCAGAACCTACCGTGGCGCTGATCCCTTCTCCTCCCTCCGGGATTTTGGGAAAGGCATCGTAGATTGAAGACACGTAAGTTATCACGGACTTTTCATCAGGTGAGGGAACATCGACATCTGAAAAATGAGAGAAAGGAGTAAAACGGTCGAATGCCTGAACTGAAAGGAGAGGAAGGACAAGGTGGCAGCTGCATTTTGTGCCTCACGTGCACATTCAACATCTACAGCTTTACCTGCGCTGTCCTTCCGTGAAGCTCGGAGATGAGAAATTCAGGACAGATAAAAGGACGAGCTCCTCCACAGCGCACAGCTGTGGCCACCAATTTGGACGGCTTTAAGAGGCGATCACACCAATCTGAGCAAGGCACTGGTGTAGCTCTGCTTACTTTTGCAGGTCTACCTGCATTGCCGGGCAGCCCGTGTGACTTGATCCTCTCAGCAGGGCCTGGCTTCCTGAGCCAGTGGAACCAAAGCCGCCAGCAGAATGGCTTCCCTTCCTCTGCTGCAGCCCCCGGGTACCCCCAGATCTGCTCTAGGGGGCTGAGAGACTTTCCAGAGCAGACTGGACAGTGCCTGGGGTGCTGCACGCAGGAGGAGACCAAGAGAAACCTATTCGAACATGGCTGATTTAGGACTTTCCTATCCTTCATCTTCCAATGCCTGTCTTCCCTTCCTGCTTTACCTGAACTCCTCCATCAAAAGGCAGGCTGCGATTCCTTGGGGCAGGACCTCCCTCTTTGCTTATGCAGCTCCTGTAAAGACTCGCAGGAACAGCAGCAGCAGCAGCAGTAGTAATGGTGAAATGTGTCTGTCTAAGCAACCTGGGGTGCCCCTCTGAGGGAAGCTGCAACCGTCCTGCTTGCGCGGCGACAAACACACCGTTTGCTGGCAAGCATGAAAAGTGGGCAGCCCGCCTTCCTCCCAGCCTGAAAGTGGCAGAGCTGGGCGAGGATCTTCCCTTCCCGAGATCTCAGCCATCCCTCTAGATCCAAAACTGGGAGGGAAGCCGAGCAGTTGCTCAGCAGCTGCAGGGCCACAGCTGGACCAGACGGGCAGAACCGCTCCTTCCCAACTGCTGATTCTGTTGCAGAACAAGAAAACATTCCTGTGCATGCCAGACCTAAGCCACAACCATGGCCAACGAAGCACCACTTCCACTGGGGGGAGAGAGCATTTTTCAAAATGCACATTTTTCCTGTTTAAAAAAAATGGGCATTTTCCCCAAACTGAAAAGAAGATGTGGGGGCAGAGGTGCAGGTGAGGCAAAATAAGCTTTGAAGGATTCAGAGGATCCCAGCGAGCTCAGGAACGGCAAGCTTGCTCATCCTTCTTCCCCAGGAAAAGGCAGGTGGGGGGTTGCTGGGAGAAAGGTGGGCGACGGCAGGGCAATCGCAGCTGCTGGACTGCCCAACCGAAGCTGAACGACCTGCGGCCCAGCCTTTTACGTCGCTGTCCAAAACAGTGGTCGGCTGAGGAAAGGAGGGTGTGTGTGAGAGAGTGTCAACCAAACAAACGTTCCGCTGGCCTGGGTCTCTATGCTCCATTTGGAGCCTGAACAGGGAGGGCAGAAGAATCCTGCATGAGTTTAAAGCTCGCTGCCAGTAATGGACAACCAGCCAGCTCCTATTTCACTTCCACATGCCATCACAGCAAAGCAGACCTTGAAACGCGCGGGCTAAAAAATGTGCCGCCCCCCCAACTGAGATCCAGCGACTCCGATCCAACGCTCAGCATCAACCGGATGCCATGTCCAAGCCGCCCCGAGGAGCCACCGTGCGCCTCCTGCTGACCCCCTTCAGTCACCTTCTGCATCCAGCAGTCTGGTGACTCCGAGTCGCTCAGCGATCTCGAAGGCCTGTTCCAGGTTGTCTCGGCTGCTCTGAATCTGCACTCTCTCCATGTCCACCAGATCCGGCCTGCAGGAGACAGAAAAAGGCCACTTGTCTTCTCAGAGCGCTTGCCGCCAGAGAGCTCGGTCGCGGGGCAGAAGCGGCGGCAAACATCCCCTCCCCTTCCCCCTCTTACTAGTGGCAGCCCCAGCATATGCAGCTGAGTGATGAGGTGATGTGCTTCTGAGCTGGTGCAATCGACTCCAAACTTACAACTTACAATCACAGATGCAAACGTACTGAGTTTAGCATTTAATACGTGAAAGTCCTGCCTTAGGAAGTGGTGTTCAGGGTTCGCTGATTTATCAGGGGACTCACATCACATCAATACCCCAACATTGGTTAACTCTTTGTCCAAGGTTACTGGCATAATCTGACAATGGGACAATCTTACTTTCCTCTTCATAACTAGGGAGCTCAAAACTAACCTCACAGAAGAAAGATACATGGAAATGAGGGGCAGGGCCCTCACCTCAGACACTCAACATTCTGGACTCAAATTACAAAATGTGAACTGCCAACATTTGCACAAGATTCCACTGCAGCTTGGGCAAGCCTGCAATTCTCTGAGGTTATTCCATTTGTTGGGAGCAGGAAGCCCGCGTGTACCTGTATCTGTGGATAATAGCATTGAACATCTTCCCATCACTCCAACAGGACGAGAAGTTGGTGCACTTGACTCCAACGTAACCTGCCGTCACTTTCTGCGTCCACAGAAGCAGCTTCTCTTTGGCAGACATGTCCCCTAACTCTCCGCTGATGTAGATGTCGGAGATCTGGAAAAGAAACCTGGCCATGAAAGAGCCGCACCACTTGAGCAGAGGTCGGGCAGGAGCGTCAGTGGCAAGGAAGGGGCTTGGGAGCACAAGCACCTTCTCGGGCGCCCTGAGTTAAGGCCAGTTGCCTGGGGCAGAGAGGCAGGATGTGAGAGAGAAGTGCCTGAGGGCACAGTCCTTGCGGAAGGGACGTCTTCCCGCATGCCCCCACAAAGCAATGCAGCATGTGCTTTGCACGCAAGAAGACACTGGGTGCGACCCCTTCCATCTCCTGCTTAAACGGAGAGTCAGGCAACGGGCAGCGAAAAATGTCGCTTGCTTTCTCCCATCCTTCCTTCATGTCCCACTGTCCCTTGATGTTGCAGAAAGAAGAAAATACGGGGCAACCTTGGCAGATAGTCAGACGGTGCAAAGCAGCTTCATATGTTTGCCTGAGAGCTGCTCTCATTCAGTTCAGTACAGCTTGAGCAGAGAATTTCCCAAGGTCCTGGGGTCTCATGCCAACTGGAGGGTTTCTGCCTCCATCACCACCGCTGCACAAGCCACTACTGAGAACGATCACCAGAAAACAGCCAAAGTATCCTATTTCAGACAAAAGAATGAGGAAGCTGGATGCAAAGGAGACATAGAAACACAGATGCAGAGCAAGTCAGAAGGGGCCTCCCAGGCCATCTAGTCTGACCCCAGGCTCCAGCCAGCTCCGCTCATGACATGCCCACCATGTCCATGTCCAGACTATCCATAAACACCCTCAATGATGGGGTTTCAACCACCTCCTGGGGAAGCCCATTCCATGCCCCAGGGGTCCTAACCATCAGGAAGAACTTCCTGGCATCCAAATTGAACCTGCGTTTCCTGAGCTTTGCTCCACTGGAATGCATCCTGCCCTCCTCTGCAGGAGAAAACAGGTCTCTATCCACCTCCGTGTGACACCCCCTCACATACCTGCATGTCACCAACAGATCCCCTCGGAGACTCCTCTTCTCCAAACTGAAAAGACCCAGTTCCCGCAGTCTCTCCTCATATGGCTTACCCTGCAAACCAGCCACCATCCTGGTGGCCCTTCGCTGTACCAATTCCAGCCTGGCTATATCCTTCCTGTAATGTGGAGCCCAGAACTGAACATGATACTCCAGTTGTGGATGCACCAGAGTAGACACCAAGCTAAATTGCAAAGTGCATATAGAGGAGGTGCCCCAAGGAAACCCCAGGAGGTGTGGAGAGTCAGTGATGAGGAAGGTAAATGGATGCACATACATCACACCCTAACCTGATTTTCCTCCCTCACTTCCAACAGAGAAAGCAGTATGAGTAGAGCCATCCATCCAGTTGTCCCAAGGAACATATTTTTTTAAATCAAATTTGAGTAGCAACCAGCTTTGCGCAGGTGACATCTGGCATCAGGGAATGGAAAATGCCTAGATTTACACAGAACATCCCCACCTGTTTTTGTGAGTCCATGGCCCTTTGTAAACACAGAGAAATACTTATATGCTGATTTAGAAACGTATTTTTCCAAGGAGACTTGCATGAAAAGCAACCTCTTACACCAATAATGGAACACCATTTTAAAATAGCAACAATAATACACGGCGGCATCAGAATTCAACATAGCACAATAGCGATTGTGTGGCGATTTCCATGGTTTCTTTTCCTTCAACCAGGCTTTAAGTCTTGCATCCGAGCACCTAAAGAACAGCAGGCGGACAAGCTGCAGGTGCAGGTGCAAAGCCACCCTTCTGAGTGTGTTTGCAAACTGTGGGCTGCATTCACTGCGGTGAGCTATCCCACTGCACTGACTTACATCACGGCCAAGAGGCAGCCCCTGCTCCCCCGCTCTGGGCCAGAGGCAGCCTTGCTCACGTCCCTGTGTTCTGTGTCCTCTGCCTACAACACATGCATTTCACAGCAGGGCCCTCGCAGATTTAAGGCACACTGAATCCCCCCTCAGACATTTCTGCCCCCAAGAGATGAAGGCTGCCAGCATTCCCAGAGGCCTAACTCCCTTCAGGAGAAAAGGCATGTGGCAAACAGGAGAATTAATTCCAGTTTGGTTCACTGCTGGCTCCAGACTCTGAGGCATGCTTAGTTCATGAGGGGCGAGGCTCAGAAGAGGCAAGGCGGGGGAAACGGTTCCCGGCCACAGCAGGCCTGGGCTGGGTTTGCCCAGATCACCTTGCGCTCCCTAGGCCTTTGCCCAGCCTCCGGCAGGGTCGGCCCCAGCCCCATGTGCTTTTGCTTCCGGGGCGGAGGCTGCACCTCGGTTCTGCAGGCCGCTGGATGCGCATGCTGAAGGGTGGCGAAGACGCAGTGGCCCAGTTTCTGGCGAAGAGGGAGAGCGTGCGCTGGGGACTGAACACCTTTCGCAGGCGCGCGCCAGAGTGCGCAGAGCTCCAGCCACGAGACAGTGCCGCGCAGGGGGTGGCCTACCTTCCCTCCACTGCCAGCCGGACTGCTGCCTCTTCGGGGATGAAGCAGGAGTGCAGCCTTCACGGCTGACAGAGAGTGAGGGTGCCGGGTGGCCCGTGCGCCCACAGCTTCGAGGAGTGTTAGCATGTCGGAGCCCCCTCCGCCCCCTCCCAGTCTGCATGGCCCCCAGTGGGCAGGGTGTGCTGATGCCGGTGGCTCTTTCCAGGGGCCCACGCACTCTAGGTGGCCACTCAGGAGCAGGACCGTCGGAAGCGTGGCCTCTGCTGAGGGACAGGGCCTCCTCTCCTCTCCACGCCAGGCCGAGGACTCGGACGCAGCGACGCCTCGCCTCCAAAGTGCCCGCTGAGCTTCTTCAAAGGCCAGCGGAGCTCAGAGATGAGCCCGGCTGCCCCGCCCCCCACATACACGCCCCCTGCAGTCGGCACCCTCTGGGCCAGGAGCAGCAGCCTGGCAGCTCATTTGTGCAGTGCTGGCCATGCTCTTGGTAGGCATGGTGGGCCCTGGGGACAGGGCCCTGAGGTAAGCCGCTTGACTGCTAGTGGTGCGAGCAGATGCGAGGTCTGGAAAGAGCCTCTGCCGGGCTGAGCCTGGACCTCTTGCCCCTTCCCTGCTGTGCAACGGCAGGCGAGCCGGGCTCCCTGAGGCCAAGGGGCAGGGAATCACTGCCACCCCTTTCTCGGCCACACTAGTCCTTCGGGGCATGCACATGATCCCAAGGGGGCTGGCAGCGACCTGGGATGCATGAATTCATGAGGCGTCCCTTGTGCTTTCCTGCAGTCCCAAACTCTACCAACACCCTGCAGAGCCTCACTTGGCACAAGCAGGTTACTGGGAGCCGCCCAGCAGTTCGCCCGCTTTGTGGTCCCCCAGAGAAGCAGGCGGGGGGGGGGGGGGAAGCGCTGTGCAGGACCCCCCCCCCCCACGGAGCACATCCCAGCCCATTCCTGCCATCTCCCAGCCTCCTACACAGAAAGCGGGGGTGGGGGCGAGGCTGACGGTAGCAGTGCAGCCGTCTCAAGCGGCACTCCCTCCCTCCGGGGGGCCACCCAGACAGCACCTGCCAGCCCCCTCCCAGGCCCTCTCCTCGCCCTGCCCAGCAGCATGGGAGCCTTGCTTCGCCTCGGCTGGGGGCAAAAGCAGCCCGGGGGGGGCGCCCCGCCACTTGCACTGTGCTGGCCACTTCCTCTCGTGGAGTCGGCGGACTTCTCACACGAGAAGCTGCCCCGGTGGGGGGGCTGCACGGTCGCCCTCCCTGGGCTCGCGGCTGCCACGCCTCCTCCCTCCACAAATGCTGCTCAGGCTGCGAAAGCCTTGCTGAGTGCACTGCCAGACACGGCCGCTGCCCTCGCACTGCCCTCGACTTTCTTCCCTAACTCCAGGGACAGCCGGGGCCGCCGGACACCTGAGATGGCCCCTGGGGGGGCGGTCCCTGCCGGCGCTGCCTGGCACCTGGTTGGCCCAGCCAGGAGTGGAGCCCCGTCCTCCCTCTCGGCTTGTGGACACAGCAGGCGTGCAAGCAAGAGTGCACACAGCTGCGGACAGCCAGAACCACTCAAAAAAGACGAGGAGCTGGCCATACCGGGGGTGACCTCCCGGCCACCCCTCTTCTCGAGCGAAGGACGCCTGCAGCTGTGCTCTCCCTTGACAGGCCGCCTGGCCAGAAAGCAAAAGGCGCCAAGCAGAGCAAGGTCAAGAGGCCCACCTGGAGCCTCTCGGGGTCCACAGCGAGGGCTGGCAAGCAGCACGCCAGCAGCGGAGACTGGCTGCCCAGCGAAGGCTTTCCATGTGCAGTGCGACTAAAAGCCAGCCAGCCACCCGCCAACCAACAAGCAGCAGCACACAAATACTTGCACACCTTGTGGATGCAAGTTGCTAACCACCGACAGCCCCTCCAGGGCAGGGCTTAGCAGTCTCACCAATAGGGATGGCAAACCTGGCCCTCAAGCAGAGGTCACAGCCACTGGGGACGGGGGCTGCATGGGGGGAGCTCTGGCAGGTGAAAGAGGTCTCCAGGCACAGCAGTGAGGGGAGCAGGCCAGACAGTCCAGGCCCAGAGTCCACTGGGCTCCTTGTGGGAAGACTGAGGGGGCCAAGGAGCCAGCCACCCCTAGCGACCCCAACTGTCACGGGTAGCGTGGGCAACAGCTAAGCCACCCGGGCTCATCGCTAGTGCAAGTCAGCTTGGCATGCAAATACGCCCAATGTGTGTTGTACTTTTCCATCCAGACGCTCTGTCCCAAACATGGGGGAGGAGTGGGGAATTGAAAGGCTTATTGTGAAGGTAGGATCCGAAAAAGTGACCTTCCTGAACCATGGAACGGCTACAGGAAGCAGCGTCCAGGGAAGGGGAAGTGCAGGAAAACCTGGCATCAAGGTGAAGTTGGAATTTGTCCCAGCAAGACCATTTTTCTGGGTTTGGAGATGCAACAGTGGGCACCCGGCTGGGAGTAAAACGCAGTGCATCTTGCAGGAAAAAATGCCAAGTATAAATCTTCAAGTATAAGCTGATAGACTCTGAAACAAACCCAAAAGGGATCTTGGGGCTGTAGCAGACAGTTCAATGAAAATGT